CAGATGCCTTACAGAAAACTGTTGCTTTGCTGTGTCAGGCTTCTACATGACCTACAGGAAAAGCTTCGCTGCACAGCTTTTTCTACATTAACAGTGTTGGGCAAGTTACTTCAAAACTGTGATGTGGTATCTGAGCTAGGATTGCTGTTAAAAACAGGCAGATATAATAACAGTGCTTTAAAATGATTGTTTATTAAATAAAAGCAACAACAATCTGTACTCTCAGCACGCTGCCATCTTATATTAACTGAGCAGGGAGTGAGGTGGTGGGGGCTCCAAGCCTATATTTGCCGTGGTCCTCAAATGCCTTGATACGGCCCTGGATGTGGGAGTGACTTCTGGGGTGATCTGATTCTATCACATGCATAAATATTAAATGCTTATATATTATTGATTTTCACTGGTAAAAATGTGTATTGGGGATAAATCTACCTACTTTTTTCTTATTTTCAAGCACTTTGTTTTGTTTTCTTGACTTTATTTAAATAATTTCCTGCCCTTTCTCTCTAACTTTCCTGCATGCTGCATGTTTTCTCCGTCTTCCAGAAAAACAGTTTTCTAGATTTCCTACTTTCTAACTAATCAGCCAAAGGGATCTACTGAACGCCAAAAAAAAAAAAAAGCTTAATATGCGCTGCGCTCCAGCAGCAGTGAGCTGAAATCACCGGAGCACAGATTATGAACTCAGCTGAAAAGTACATGAAGTACCAGAGAATATGGGCTGATATAAACGATTGCAAACAAATTACTTTGTCTTGGTGGAGCGATTTTGTGAATAAAACAGCGGCCGTGCGCAGGACGCAGCTGGAGTATTTGAGCCATTACTGCTGCGTTGTCATACTCTGTGTCCCTTTGTTCCCCAGCCCCTCCAGTTCCCACTCCAGGTTTTCCTCTTGTGTCCCATTATTATCCCCAGCCCTCTGTAGACTTCCCTCAGGTGTCTTTCTAATCATTCCCCATTCCTAATCAATCTTTATTTAGTCCTCCTTATCCGTCTAGTTATTAGTTGTTTATTTTTGGCCCTCAGTCTTTAGGTTTAGTTTTGTGTTTTATAGTTTTAGGTTTATCTGCCCTCCTCTGGTTCTGTTCCCCATTTAGATAATTGTATTCACCTGCTTTCCCTCCAGCCCTCACTCCACACACCTGCTGCCTGTTTCCCTTATTGCTCCTCTCTGTTTGTAAAAACCTTGTCTTGTCACTCTGTCTTGTCGGTCCATTGTCTATGTCAATGTTGTTTTGTCCCTCCGTACTAGTCTCTGGTTTTCTGCTTAGTGGGTGAGCTTTTTGTTAGTCTTGGTTTAGTGGTTAGGTTTTTGCCTCCCTTCCTTTGGATTTTGATTATTTTCTAAAATAAAGGATTTTATGTTTTTTCAACCACTCCTGCCTGTGTGTTCTGGATTTCTGCACTTCGGGTCCAAACCCCCTGCCCGCACCGTGACATGCGTTTTCTCTGCTCATGGACTGCCCGCAAAGCTGAGTCCATAAATGACGTAATATATGTGGATACTGGATCTTTTTTCAGGCTTCATGCAATTTGAATTTTTAGGAAACCCACATCTTGATTCTGGGTTTAATAATGCATTGTAATTATCGCGTTACTGACAATTGTACCAAGTAAATATTACCATTTTCTTTCCCTGTAATGCCTTACATTACCACATTAAAGCAAAAAGCAATGCATTACAGTAAATAATTACTTTTGTACCACGTTACTCCCAACACTGTACATTATATAGAAATTGTTCATATTGTGTAGGTTGTTTGGGATCCTTTCTGCCTTTGTTTGACTCAGAGTGTGAAATAGCCAGTGAAACATGAAAGCAAGCTTTGCTATGATGAACAACAAAGCGAGGACTGAAATAAAGCTGAAGAGGTTGAGCCAATGCGCTGAACAAAACTAAAGAAGAAAACTTTGAGGGTAAAATGATTTCTGGACCAAATGTGTTTTCTGTATTTGTTTTTCTGAGCTGAATCCATGACTTCATGTGTTTTCCATTGTTGCTTTTCTCAGGCTGCTCAGAGGTCCGGGTCAGCTGCACAACAGCTTGCTGGAGCTCTGTCTTTTTGAAGGCCATCTCCAAAAGCACATGCTTCCTGTCATAATGTCTCGATCATCGGTCCCATCTTTAACAAATAGCATCCCTATCCACTTTGTGTCCAAAGTATTAGTATTATGTACTGTTTAAACAACTTAGCTTTAGAGACAGTCTCATTTACGTAGAAATGCAGAGATCAGATTGATCATTTCAGGTTTTATCTCCATTTCTCTGATCAATGTGACCTCGTTGTCACAGCTAGAGGACAAGGGGCAATGACAAATTCTGCTTGATGAGATGATAAATATCAGTTTTGCTTTTTCATCCCTTCAGTTTTCATCTTTGCAGGAAGGTGAAACAGAACCCACTTACTCACATTAAACATCATCATCAGTAGGTTAATTAATAAATAAATTAAATAGAAACTGAAACCATTAGATTAAATGACGATATGGTAAAATAAAATTAAATACATTAAATGTCTTTGTTTTGCAGGTATAACAGAATTTTCAGTTTGAATTTTTGGTTTGTCATTCAGGTTTTTTTTTCCATTAGGGAGTCTGAATCCACACAGAGGCTGCTCAGGACAGTGAATAAAGTGTTTGGTTGATTTCATATGCAAGGAAAATTAACTTAATCATTAAATTAGGTTTAAGGTGCACCCAATACTGAAAGAACCTTAAAGTTTAGTGCTTCTGACTTAATGTAATTATTGCAATTCCTCATGAGCATCTTCACACCTGAAACACAAAAACACTGAATACAATCAGATGCAATGAGGTGGTGGTTCACAACACTTCTGAAGAAACAGCAAAAAGGGAGAAAGACTAGTTGAGGCAAGGCATTTGCTTCATGATGCTTCAGATCCTTAAAAATGCTAAATTAATGTATTTTCAAGGTTTTGAAAGTGCCACTGAAATTAGTTGTTCTTGTATAAATGAGAACCAAAGTAACGATTGAAATCTCGCCCTGAAAGTGCTGAAATTTCATTTAGGAAAGTTTAGACTAGAGATGATCTTGTTTCTTGATTTCCTGCATTTTCTTAGTTTTATCAGTGAAAATATCAGCATTGGGCTCCATCATTGATAATCTTATCAGCATTTTAACCTTCTGATTAGAAATAAATCATGTTAGGAGTGTAGATTTATTTTAAAACATAATCTTGATTGGAGATTTTTGTTGATTTTAAGCTGTGCGTAAATATTTGTGTCAGTGTTGCATCACAGTGTAATTAACATTTTAAACTGTGTCACTAAGTGTATAAAATTATAGACAAACTATTGAAAATTCAACAAAGATGTCACTCATAAAGTTGACAGAACTTCGTGTCGCCACCTCCACACGGTCCCTGAGGAAGACCACCCACCATGTCCGAGGGTCCTGCAGCTCAGTGCGAGTCCATCTCTCTCCAGTGAGCATGAAAAGTCTGCCACCTACTACGGCCCTGCTCTGTTAAAGAATAATGTGATAGCAGCTCTTCCGTGGAACAGATGATAAACTCCTGGCAGCAGTGTTTTTTCAGTGTTTTATTTCTTGTGATTATGTTAGAGCTGCATACTCCAGTCCTGTGCTTTTGAATTTGGCAGAATTTTAATATTTTATTCCTCTACCGTTGTTTAAACTCTGTGTTCTATGCTGAAATTAAAAGGGCAAGGGGTGCCAAAGAAAATGAGTGAGAGCCGAGCATTAAGATGTGGGAAAACGTTGCATGCTCAAATGTTGACTACGTGTTGCTATGGCGATGGATTTGGATCCTGCAGGCTGCAGGACTCTTGCTATTTCTAAATAAAGCTATTTTTCACACTGATCTGTGGATGAAGATGCTCATAGCTGAAGCTAATCTTCTGAACTGTATCAGTCAGAGTAAACACTTAATACTTTCTGCTAAACATCCTTAACAGCAGTTATGGGATTAGAGATAAGAAGATGCACGACAAAGGACAGATGCTTCACTAAGCAACACATCCTGGGGGTGCATCCAAATCAATCTGCCTATGTGTTTATGATCATTAAACTGTAAAAATGTCATCAATGTGGATCGATATGGACAGTTATTGCTGAAGTTATTTCAAATATTGATTGTTGTGGTTCATTTTTCATGACTAATCTGTACACACAGTTAGAAATTGAGGTAAAAATAAATCAAAAGTCTTGTAGTCTTTTCTTCCACAATCTGAGTTTCTTAAATCTAAATCATAGGATTGATTAGTCTTAAAGTCTCTCTTTTCACATTCTGTGTGGTCTATTTTAACCAGTCCTCAGCAAAACTGAAAGTTTAGCCTAAAGATAACAAACAAGCAGGGGAAAACCCCCTTGCCCTCCCCTTCCTTTTGTCCCAGCTTGCTGTCTAGTAACACAGTCCCTCTGTCGTCCTGTAGGGGGAGCCTGTGGGCAGAGAAATCAGGACACAAATAGGTGCTGAGCCCACATCCTTACTCCTCCTTAGTGATGGGGACTTCCATTCTTACTTCAAGTGGGTTTTGGGCCATTTCACAGACAACAAATTTAGTCCTTTTCCTCCCACTCAATGATGCAGCCATCTTGTAAATAGCCAAGTTTATTAAAGACACATGTCGGTGTGTCATTTTCAGTGACTGTGTGCTTCCTGAGGATGAGGGAGTTCAACATAAAAAATATAAGCTATTTTTTTAAAAAAAGGAAAAGTACCTGCTCTTCATAATCAGCTTGATGTCTGTTTCCAAGCAACAGACAGTTAATAAACAATTAATAATATGGGAAATTGGAAATTCTCTCGGTGCTTTAATTAACTTGTGAACTGATTCTGTGTTTTTTCTTTATTAAGATATTAATATGCCAACTTTATTTCATGCACTTAACCTGAGCTAATAGTGAAGCATCCTGTATGAGTTTATGTTTTGATCACTAACAAGTGTGAGTCATTAAGGTTTTTTTTATATATATATTTATATAATGTGTTTGACTGATGATGTGTTGAATTTCCAGGGCAATGCTCTGAGGAAAGGAGAGATTCAAGGGACAACTCTCACTGGTAACAACCACAGCTTCAATATTTACCTGGAACAATAACACCCTATTTTCCTCTTGTCATTATTGTTGCATTTTTCATTTGATTGTGAATTTAATCCCCATTCACTGTTATTTTTATATGTCTTTTGGGTGCTGTAACCACATAATTTCCCCATGGGGGGTTTGGGGCAGAGGGAGGGTTAATAAGATGTATCAGAATCTGAATCTACCAACCCTCGTAGAATTCAGCTGCATTTATTTGCATTTCAATTGTTTATTTTCACAATAAAATTGGACAAATCACCTCTTATTTAAAGGCGTGGAACACTGAAAATACATTTTTTGTGATTATTTCTGATCATAATTGGTCACTCAGGATTTTTCATGCAGGCTGGCTGTGAAAAAAAGTCTCCTACACCTATCTGCTGTGTTAGTTTTTGATAGATAATAGACGGCAAAACTCTAGGATTAGAAAAGCCTGACAGATCTACATCACACTGTCAATTAAAATTCATGGACTCATCCATTTTGACTCACGACGGGGAAGGCTGTTGTTGGTTTAACGTCTGGGAGACCACAGAGAACGTCCCGGCTGGTAGAAGCTAACCGTTAGCATTAGCAACTCCACCGCACAGCAGAACTCCTTCAGGCTTGTGCCAGATAAAATGTCAACATTGTAGTGAAAAAAGAGTCAGTGGTAGAGTCACATTGATGTCTACCAATCAGAGGTGAAATGTCCCAAAATCAGGAAATGAGACTCCAAATCCCACAGTGTTCAGCTCTCCTCTGATGTGGCTCACTTCTAGTTCCTGAAACAGGTGCATCCCAGCTTTTTTACCCCGAGTATGACTTACAAACATGCAGATCATTACATTAAAGTAGCTCAAGAGGTAGATTGGGTTGTCCACTAATCAGAAGGTTGCAGGTTCCATCCTGGCTCTGACCAGAGAATGCTGCTGTTGTGTCATTGGGCAAGACACTTAACCCTCCTTGCCTACTAGTGGTGGTCAGATGGACCGGTGGCGTGCTCGCCAGGCCTCACATCTGTCAGTGCGCCCAGGGCAGCTGTGGCTACATACAAGCTCATCCCCACCAGCATGTGAATGTGTGTGTGAATGAGTGAATGACTGATTGTGTTGTGAAGTGTCTTAGGGGTTATAGAACCCTAAGAAGGTGCTATACAAATACAGGCCATTTACCATTTAAGATTATTAAAGCACGTATAAAAAAATTAAATTTTTTAATTATTTTAATTAATTGCACACAATACCTGGTTATTTCTCTCCTGTTGCTGTTGGTGTAAACCCAGATCCCTACCAAGAGTTGTATTGACTAACATTTGATTTTGTTTATTTTCTGTTTGTCTGCAGATTACCATCAGCCAACACCACCTCAGAACTCTGGTTTCCACCGCTACCAGTTCATGTTGTTTAAGCAGCCTCCTGACACTCTGGTGTCGCTCACCGATCAGGAGAAATCCTCCCGTGGTAAGGTTTAGTTTAGTTTTTTTTAGTTTAGTTTAGTTTAGTTTAGCTTAGCTTAGCTTAGCTTAGCTTAGTTTAATTTAATTTAGTTTAGTTTGAAATATTCAATTCAATTCAAGTTTATTTATATAGCGCCAAATCACGACAAGAGTCGTCTCAGGGCACTTCACATAATAAACATTCCAATACAGGTCAATTCATTAAGCCAATCAGAAAACGGTTTCCTATATAAGGAACCCAGCAAATAGCATCAAGTCACTGACTGGTGTCATTGACTTTACAGCAATCCTCATACTAAGCAAGCATTTAGCGACAGTGGAGAGGAAAACTCCCTTTTAACAGGAAGAAACCTCCAGAGGATCCTGGCTCAGTATAAAGAGCCATCCACCACGACTCACTGGGGATCGAGAAGACAGAGCAGACTCTCACACACACACACACACACACACACACACACACACACACACACACACACACGCACACACGCACACACGCACACACGCACACACACACACACACATACAACATATATACCAAGTAACGTTTCTATGGTTACATTGTGATTTCTTAGTAAATATTCTATTTGTTGAGAGATAAACTTCATTGTATTTATCCTAGTGAATCTATAATTAAACGGGTAAACTAGCAGTAGCACATTCAAAGTCAAGGAAAGTTAAATGTTATTATCAGGAGAGTGAGAATGATTAAATGGTTAGCAACAGTGTTCAAGACGATGGCCCCCTCCATGAGGCCACCACAGCTCAGCAGAACATCATTGTAACTTCTTCTGGGGAGAAAAATACTTAGAGAAAAAATAAAGTTAACAGCTGAAATTGCAGGAAATAATACAGTTAAAGAGCAGAGAAAGTAGTAGAGTGTGAAAAGTGGTCAGTGGGTCCTCCAGTAGTCTAAGCCTATAGCAGCATAACTACAGAGATAACTCTGGATAACCTAGCCTTTTAGATGGAGGCATGTTGGAGGCAGGGCAAGGGAGAGCCGTCTTTACCGACTGTACACTCCACCTCCCTCTACTCCCCCACTTGTCCAGATCTAGGCTAACATCAGATTTTAACCATAGGCCCTATCAAATAAAAATGTTTTAAGTCTAGTCTTAAAAGTCGACAAGGTGTCTGCCTCATGGACTAAAGCTGGGAGCTGGTTCCACAAGAGAGGAGCCTGATAACTAAAAGATCAGCCTCCCATCCTATTTTTAGATATTCTGGAAACACCAGTAAACCTGCAGTCTGAGAGCGAAGTGCTCGGTTAGGAACGTATGGAACAATCAGGTCAATGATTTATGATGGAGCTTGATAATTAAAGAGCTTTATATGTGAGAAGGAGGATATTAAAATCTATTCTGAATTTAACAGGCATTTCAGACTTTGACTGTGTCTAGTTTTACTATTCTAAGGTTTTATTTTAGTATCTGAAGACGATTATGAGAAAATAAAGGCCGCATTCATGAGGTCGGTGAGGGTTCAGTGATACTGGTTCCCACACACACCTCCACGAGTCTGACCTGACCATTTGCTGTTAGCTTCTATCACACCTGAAATCCAGTCAGCCGTCCCTGTCTATGTGATTAACGTCCAGCCACTAACGTTAATTGTTGCTGAAACCATTATCAAATAGTTGTTTTCCGATTCTCAGAAGTCTGCCTTGTTTGTCTTGCAGACTTATTGTTTTGTTTACAGTTAAAATTTGCTTTATTTTTCGTTTTTCCTTGTCTGAAGTCTGTGGGAAGGTGCGAAACGGCGCTCCGCACCTCACGGGAGGCGTGTCTCCCTGTCGGTTCTACTCGAGTCACAGCCGATGATTTGAGGGGAGATCGGGGCGGTGTGAGACTTCAAGCTCGGCAGCGATGAATGAGTGGTGCTGCCAGTCTCTGCTGTTTGAAGTTCTGACAGCTCTGTCAGCAAACAATCCAGTCACATTAGACTGAAGTCTGTTTGATGTTAAAAGTTTTGGGAAAAGAAGTGTCAAAGGAGGTGTTTTTTTGTTTTTAATTATTATTTTTCTATTTTTGTTTAATCCCACACACGTTCATCACAGACCTAAGAGTTTCTACAACTGAAGAAATAATATCATGAAAAATAGTTTGTTATTTAGAATATTTTAACATCATTTTTAGAAAAAAGAATGTCAGATTATTATTATTATATTTTGCCTTTAATACATTAGTTCATCCTGATAATAAAGCCAGTGAGATGAGTGGATCCACCCATCCTCAATCTGCAGCTCCCGCTGTAGCACACTTCCTCTCTCCTGCTAACTGTCTGCTCTGTTCAAAGGAAATTACATTAAGTATTTCACTCTCGGATAATCAAATGTTTCACTTTGTGGGAATAACTGTCCTAATGAAGAGCATGGAGGAAAACGATGCCGTGTGAGCACTGAGAATAAAAGTCCTGCGATGTTCTTTATGTTTATTTAATATAGTGATGTACCTGCTGCATTAACACTCGCCTCCACAGGACCGTGTAGATACACACTCGGAGGGAATCCCATGTCTCCCCACCTCCTCCGTTAAGTATGTTCACTTATTAGCATCTGTCCTCCCTCCATGTGGTGTGACACAGAGAGGATTTTTCATAACCGTTGACATTAATTGACATGATTTGAGAAGGGAGCACATTTAGTCGTGGGTGGAGGGCTCCTAATGATCATTTTCCACTTCCAGCAGTGGAGTCGTTGACTCAATTTTATTTCAGATTTGTTGTCTTTTTTTCTTTTCATCTCTGACCATCACTTAAGTAATAAGTGATGGCCAGAGGGGCCGAACAATTAGAGGTGGAGCAGAGCTGCTGCGAGGAACCGTGGGAGTCTGCTGTGCCTCCTGGGTTAAGGTTATGAATGTGGGTCAGTGAACTGGTGGAGACAGCTGGTTCGTTACATAAGGATCTACAGGGGGGCTGAGCTCCTGGCACTGGGCACAGGGGCGTTATCGGAGGGAATCCCCATTGCTCTGGCTCAGGAAGACTGTCCCTGACTGGAAGCTGCCCCTTTGGCAGTGTGTGTGTGTGTGTGTTGAGGGGGTGCACGCTCAGACCCTCCTGATAGTTGTCAGCCACTTGGCAAGCCTTTCATATGTCCTGTTACTGTTTGGTGCCGACAAGTCAATTTGTCAAGGGAAACAGTGTTGCAATGCTGGGAGGGAAGCCCCGAGGCCTTGGGGGAAGCTGTCTGGTGTTGTTTCAGTTTGCACGAATCGCCACGCATTCGCAGTCGTCCCCCCACCCCCCGTCTCCTGACCCCAGCCCCTAAATTCAGCAGAATCAGAAGATTAAGAGCTGAATAGGTTCAGAATTACTGGCTGGGGGAGAAGAAGAAAAAAAAAAACAGGGAAACATTGAAAATGCAGTATTGATCGCTCATTCTTTGGCCAACTTCTTTGTTCCTCATTTATTTGTGGTGGACCGATAGGAGAGGATGCGCACGGTGATCATGTGTGAAATGAACGGATCACAGTGGCTTTAGCTGCTGGATCGTACACGTTGCTCATCTCGCCTCCCGGAGCCCCGTACTGCCAGCTCAGCACACTCTGCAGTAATTGAAGCCATTTGCAATGTTGCAGTGTGGTAATGGGCAGATCCATGTCTACCACCCACCCACAGCCTCTACCATTAATCAGAGCTGCGTAGAGTCAAGAGAGCCAGGATTTGTTTGCTACAGCAGGTCTGATTTTCAGCCAAAAGTCAGATGGATTAAAGAAACAGGGTAACATCCTGAGGGTTTTTAATTGTTTAGTTTGTTTTATAAATATTTTTACATTATTTTCAATATTTAGGTAAAGGTTTTGTGTCTTCACTTTTTACTTTCCTCATAAAATAATATTTTTTTAATGTCTTTAATTCAGCTAAAGTTTGTTTTTTTAGATAGAAAAAACATAAAAGTTAAAATTTGTTGTTGCTCAATTTGTCAGCAGTCAAGAAAGTAATCACAATACTAATCTTCGTATTGATGCATTTGTGTGAAAATCTAACTTTAAGTAAACTAATTCATCCAAACTCTTCTTATTTAATAAGGGAACATCATAGAGGTGGCAGGTCCAGGAGGGAAGCCCAGACTCCCCTCTCCCTAGTGACAGTCTGTTCTAGGGCGTCCCAAAGTGTTCCAGGCAAGAGAGAACAGTCCCTCCAGTGAGTTTTGGGTTTGTCCCTGGGATCTCATCCCTGAAGGATGTGCCTTGATACCCTCCAGAGAGAGATCTCTCTCTGGAGGTTCAAACTCCTCCTGGATGATGAAGTTCTTCATCTATTCCTACAACTAAGCCTGGTCGCCCATGGAAGAAGCTCATCTCTTTCTTTTTAGTCAGTTTGTCTGTTTTCACCTGCTTATCTGAGTTCAGGTCGCAGGTAGCAGCTCCAGCAGAGAGGCCCAAACCTCCCTCTCCTCAACAACCCCCACCATCTCCACCGGCAGGACCGGTGTTCTCAGGCCAACATGGGTCGTCTCACTCCAACGTGTCCTGGGTCAACCCGGGATCTCCTGCTGACTGGACATGTCTGAAACACAATGTGGGGAATCTTATGTTAGAAAAATAATTAGTTATTGTTACAAATTACTTGTTCTAAAACAAGTACCATATTGTAAAAGTAATTAGTAAACTAGCAATGTAACTGTGATGTTATTTTAATGTTCTGTAACGCGGTTACATTCTGTAATATCTAAGATTTTTTATGACTGGATGATTCTTACTATCTAGAACGAACATTTCAGATACATCTGGAACGTTCATTCAGTAAAAATGTCCTTTTGGATATCTGGAATGTTTTTAGGGATTCTGAGATATCTTAGACTTAATCCCTACTGGTGCAGATGTTATTATGGTTGTTCTTAATTATAATTTCAACCATTAACAGCATAGCTGTTGATGTCGTCATTTGCAATTTTGACATAGAAATATAATTAGCACTAGGATAAATAAAATTATTGTCATAGACAATTGGGATTACAGAGAGGTCTGATTGCTGATTAAATGTTAACAGGTCTTGCCATAAACTTGGTATCCACTTGCCTGTTCTCTCCTCGCCATTCTGAATTGCTGTTTATTCTTCTTTCCTCATCTTTACAGATTTACCCCGACCAACATTTACATATCCATAATGTTAATGTAATATTTGTCTCAGACATTTTGCGCGCGCCACCTACGCCCCTGCTTTCATAGCAAATGAGTGTGTGCAGCGCTGCACACACTCATCTCTGATGAGCAAACAAACACCCTGATGTGTTCGGCGAAGTGCGCTCATTTTTGCCGTTTGTAACACCGGCTCGGGGTGGCATGGCGGGTGCAGCTGCAGCTGGCTCCGGTCGGCTCAAGGGTTGTTTGTGCACGACCAACACTTCACTGGTGTGGCTCTCAGACAGCCTGACAGTGCTGCGATTCATTCAATCACAATATAGTAATGGAGTAAAGCAGCGTTTTACATGCCCAGTAATGGTAATGGGGTTGCAACGATGGAATATGTAATTAATTAGATTACTCTGTTACCTGAAAAATAACGTTGTTACTCTCAACGCTGCAGAAACATCTCCCCTGGGAGGCGCCAGCGAGCTTTCCCATCGAACGCTCAAACCACCTCAGCTAGCTCCTCTCAACACAAAGGAGCAGTGGCTCTATTCTGAGGCTCTCCCGAATGTCTGAGCTCCTCACCCCATGTCTAAGGCTGAACTTGGCCACTCGACAGAGGAAACTCATTTTGATGGCTTGTATTCGTGATCTTGTGCTTTCCGTCATCACATCACCCCCAGCTCATGACCATAAGTGAAGATAGAGATGAAGTTCGCCTGGTAAATTGAGAGCTTTGCTTTGTGGCTTAGCTCCTCATCACCACAACAGACTGGTTTAGTATCCGCGTCACTGCAGAGACTGCCCCTACCTCCTTCCCTCACTCGTGAGCAAGACCCCAAGATACACTCCCCCACTTGAGGTAGGACCTCTGACCCGAACCAGAGTCGGTTATCCACCCTTTTCTGGTTAAGAACCATGTCTGTAGCTCCCAGTCTTGTGACCACATGGTGAGGGTTAAATGAAGACCATGACCATTTGGCTCAACTCCTTCGTCACCATGAACTCCCTCATTACTGACGATGAAGACCCGATCTGTTGGTTCATAACACCCAGATACTTGAAGTCCTCATCTTAAAGAAAAACTTTGTCGACAGACTCAGAAGAAAAGTTGCATAAAAACTAAATATTTGCCATATTTTAGTTTTTATTTCATTCCTCTGTGTTTTGGCCTAAGTGCCTATTGGCTCTCCATTTGTTAGCTTAGTCATATCGTTCTCTTTTTCTTCCTTCCAAGCTTCAGCTGTAGATTCTCCCTCAAATAAGATCAATCTTTTTAATTATATTTTATCTCATCACATCCTGAGATACCCTTCCCAATCATACATTTTCTAATGCAGAATGACACCCTGCCCCAAAACCATGACATACGAGAACGAAGGAGTTTGTTGTCACATGTGGTAAACGACCAGCATTTGCCAGAAAGTCCTGCTGCTCCTTCGGTGTTGCCATAGGCCACTTGGCATTCTCTCTGAACAGTTTTGTCCTTGTGTTCTTGTCAGAGGAGCACCGCGCCTCACTGCTGAGCCACACTTGTTGACAATTCTCAAAACTCTGATGCTCTTACCACCTAACAGTGAATGACAGCTTTCAGTTCCCATCATGGATATTTCTGAACACTTTATAAATTGTGTTGGGAAAGTTCTTAAAGTTCTAGGACCCGTATATGATGACATCACATATTTTAAACCAAAGGCCTTTCATGTTAGTTTCGTTTTCTTTAGTGTGACAAATTGTAAAGTTTCTCGTTTTTACTATAAAAGGAAATTCAACGATGGCAGAGTTCATCTAAGAACATTTTGATGAGTGTATGTTTTTCACACAGCAAATTCAAAAGTGTTAATTTTCTGGTGTTGGTCCATTTAACACCAACAATAGTTAATTTAACACTAAAAATTGTTATATAGTTGATATGTAACACTGACATGAGAGTTAAAACCCAGTGTTAAAAGGCAGTGTTTCCTAATCGACTCTGTAGGTGTCCTTTTGGACAAAATAACTCCTAAAAATCTAACTCTGAACTCCCACAGCAGCTGTAACACCTGCAGAGTTAATTTGTAGACTCCACCCTTTTATTGTAAAAGTTGGACTGGTAGCGACCGATTGGCTGCAGAGAGTTGCAGGAGCTGCAGTGGGCGAGGTGCATTGTGGGTAGTCATGTTTTTAGTTAATTTGTTCTATTTTAGGGTGTTTATGAATGTTTATTTGGGGGAGTTGTATTGTTCTTAGTACTTTGTTCACTGTTGCAAATGTGGTTTTGCTTGTTATGTCATGTTGGTACCGTGAGTGAGGAGGCCGGTCAAAAGAATGGGACTGCTGTGTGTTCCACTAGCACAATCAAAATGTGGTGCATTGGTCGTGCTCAGGACTCAATACCTTGCGATCCTCTTCCACTGACTGATTGTAGTCATGAGGTGTACATATAAATGACCAACAAATGATATACAACAATCTATTTCCAGACCTGCAGAGAAAGATAGAGAAAAGGGGGACACACAAAAATACTAGTGATGGGAATTCCGGCTCTTTTTAGAGAGCCGGTTCTTTTGGCTCAGCTTACCAAAAAGAGCCGGCTCTTTCGGCTCCCAAGTGGCTCCTCAGATTTTCTGTTGCGTAGTGCACATTTATAACCAAAATAATGCAAAACTATATGTAAAATGATTTACTAATGTAAAAAAAATGCTTTATATAAAATATTTATCATTTCTATGGATGTAATAACTGAACACTTTCAGAAATCTCCACTTTCCGACTGCTGGCGCTCATTTTCTCACCGTCTTCGTCGCACTCTCCTCTCTCTCGCTCGCCTTTTTCCTCCTCCTCATTCCCTCTCGTCTCCCTCCGCCCGCATGTGCTCTGCTGTGTGACTTAGTCTTATCCTCCCTCTTCCCCGCCCCTACTGCTCTGTGTGTGGACAGTTTGGACACACAGTTACACATGTTGACCAATCGCCTGTGGCTTTCACCAAAGCAAAAGGGGAGGGGGGGGGAGGGGAGGGGACGGCTCCCAATGACGAGCCGGCTCCCGTCGTTCACTTAAAAGAGCCGGCTCTTAGAGCCGGCTCGTTCACGACCGACACATCACTAAAAAATACAACAAAACAAAAAAATCACTGCTCCAACAACATGAGGATATCTAACAGTAACATTTTTGCTAAGAGCATGCTGTAATGATTTATAGTGCATTTAGTGCCAACCACAGCCCTAGGTTATGTGTCAAAAACACCTGAGTCCACACATGAGAGCCCCATGTGAGCACCTGTGTACAAACGCGTGCTTGTGCGTGGACGGTTTCTCTATAGGAGTGGTCAATAGTGAGTATGAGAGGCCACAGACCTGCCAGAGGCCCAGGAGATAATAATGCCAACCCCCAAGCCCACTCTGAGCCGCCCACTCGAGGGAAGGCCGAGCTTGGAACTCAGTGGCCCGGGACCCAGGGGCGCCCAACTTCAGTGGAGACCCAGCAGAGGCCAGGGACTTGGACTCCACCAGGCACCCACAGGGAGCGAGCCGGTATGCTAGAAACTTCTAGCCCAAGACACGAGAGAGTTTTCAAATGCTTCTAAAGGCTCAATGATCTGCTGCAACATATCCTGTTGTATGATGAGTGCTAGCCACATTTGACGCAAGTCATCACTCTAAGATACAGGTGTCATGGTATTGTGTTTGGACCGGACCGATCTAAGGGACCTCTGAGCCACTCTAGTCTGTTACAGAGACATTGTTAAATGGCTGAACCCTGATGATTTTATTTCCGTTAAAATGAAGAAATTCAGTAAGGGTTTACTCTGATATGGCTCCTTTAACTGTACTGCAAGAAAAAAATGAAGATCCTCGTTTTTTTGAGTATTTCTGAGACACTGTAAGAGGTTTAACAGGGACACCGCCCACACCACTAAATGTAGCAGTTCTGTCACCTCACAGCAGTCCTGATCTCCCTACCATACCCAGACAGAGACGCAAGGTGGAAACAAAAGGAGAGGCAGGAAGACTCTAACATCGCCCTCAGGTCCCACACTATCTGTCCTTTCCATGAGCGTGCAGATGGGAGAGGCGGAAACGTGTCTCTGCACTACAAACAAGCACCAGACTATTTTAAGGTCACTTGTAAGTCGAGGCATTCGCAGTGTACCAGCCAGTATGATAGCACCAGAGATGGTGAATTTGTCTTGTTTTGGACTGAGCCCAATGATTGCACAGCTTTAGACAGGATTATGTGTGAAGCTTTACAAGCATTGGCTTATTTTGACTCCCTGTTTGATACTTATTAGAGGAAATAGTGCCTAACACTGCTGTGAGGCATGTTCTCTGCAAACATCAGGGAAGGAGAACATCTTTACGCGTCACTTTCATACATTTCAAATCTGTCACATGGTTTTTTTAGCTGCGTCTCAGTAAAGTTGGTGTCTCAACCACCTCACCTGTCAGCTTTCTTTAAACTATAACCCCTGAGGGGTGAGTAACCTTGTTATGGACATGCAGAGGAGTTTAGGGATCTGCAGAGGCGGTGCACTATCTGAGGCTGAACGAAAGGATAGAAGGGGCTGCTGGGGCTGTGCCCTATCATACAGACAGGTCACTTGACTCTATTGCCCTCACATGATTATCGGCGACCCCTCTGCAGGCAGTCCTCATTCCCAGAGATGACCTGGGGAGATTCAGGTACTCATCTGCTCATCTATCAGTTATTATTCGTCATGTTCTGCAGCTGAGCTCGGAACACGACCTGCCCTCACGGCAAACCCAGACACACGGAGGTGTCTTAGGTTAAAGATGGGAGGAAGATCAGAAATAAAATTTTAAGTACTTCAATGTTTAAAGCTTCAAGCAGGAAGATAGGCCAACAGATGATAGGCTAAGCCAGTGCAATCAAACGTGTAAAAATGTGCAGCATTGAGTGAGAAATTTAATTTTAAATGAGTTTTTCTAGATTGGTGAGCACCTTTGATGTACTGGGAATGTATATTTCCTCTGGATTAAACATTTGGTTCTCTGACGATAAAACCAGGGAGAGCAAAGTCCTCTAAAACAGCTGCAGCATAAGGTCAGGAGCAGAGATTTTACCATGCAGACACAGGAAGATCTGACCCTGACTGCGAGTCCATCCTCTCGATAGACTTGGACTGTTTCACTACTTGGCTCTAGTTTTCCAGTGCGATCCTTCGACAGCCTTTAATGTGATCACTTCCCGCAGGAAAAATCCCAGAATGTCACAGGTTCGCTGGATTACAGTGCAAAAGTCTTATGAACATGCAAACATATGAAGATACAGACAGTCGGTTTTTCTTTGTAGAATCTGTTTGCAAGTTTAAAGCACACAGGGTTTTCTTAGCCTGGAATGATAGTTGTGAATTTGTCTTTTTTTTTTTTTTGTAAAAAGGAGGGGAAACTGCAGGGAATCAGTGCTTGTCAAAAATCTAAGAAGCGATATTGTCATACCAGCCGGATGGCCGTCTGGTGTTTGTTTAAAAGGGGAGGGAAGAAAAAAACAGCCCAGGCGATTGAATCATTTCTTCTTGCCAATACGTCCTTGCGTTCCCACCTCCATCATTACAGCAACATGTTTTATTTTCAGCAGTGCTGTTCTCAGTGACTCACATCCCAGAGCCATGTGCTGCTCAGTTAGACCTCAGATCCCTAAACACAGACCGAGCGGTCATAAGAAATGCTCTCACAGTGCACTCAGAATATGGCTTTTTTAAATTAATATATATATATTTCTTTGTCTTGCAGCAAACTGAACACAAACCTTGAGTTCCTCTCCTTCAAAATATTTGCATATATTTTTGTCACTTTTTTAGGTAAATGGGACTTGCAGGCCTTCATCACAAGGTTTGGTTTGGGAGAGCCCGTCGCCTCTGTGCAGTTTCTCACCCAGAACTTCAAAGACTGAAGAATGTTCAGATGCCTCAAAAGGAAAAAAGAAGAAAAACATCACCTTTATGACACAAAATACTTCCCCTTTTTGCATCATTTTTCTGCAATAAACTAAGTCAACGCTTGCACAAATCCGCCTCCTTTTCTTCTGCCTTATTGCTGAGTTAGAGACACATTTCCTCTTTGTGTTGCACCAGTTGATGGGTTTTGATGTCACCCCTCATCTCTGTCACGTGTTCCGGTGGATCGGGAGATCGATTTCGACTTTGCTGGAGATTTCTTAATAGTTTCCGAACGGCGTCGATGAGAGAAGGAAGACGACCTGATATCACCGCTCTGTGTGGAAAGAGTCAATTCTAATTCTGGGCCGGAAACACGTCAGGACCATAAAAAGGAAGTGGGAGGTGAAACCGTGACCGCAGCTCAGCCCGATGCTGCAGTGGAACTTGAACCAAAATACTCTATAGTGTGACAGGACGGGGGGGGGGGGGGGGAGGGGCAGCAGGGCCTGTCGAGCACCCAGGGAAGGGAACTTGCTGTTTGTGTAATTGTTTATCATATTTCCATTGACCACTCTCACCCCAGCTGGAAACAATGAGCAACTTTCAGGCTCTCGATGTGTCTGAAGTGAAAGCTGCTCTGTTTGTGTGTCCTTCAGGGTAACTTTGGGATGTGAACCAGTTTTGAACTTTAAAAGAGTTGCACTAGGGTCTCACCTGGCAGGTCTGCGGAGGATGGTGTGGGTAAACTTTTCAACCCGCTCACGATAAAATGCTTTTCAGACTTTACAGGTCTTTGTAGCTGGTGGGTCAGAGTGCCCCCACCATGAGGAATATTGGTTTTTAACCAGTAGCTCTCCTCCGGGAATAGGTTGTATCAATACCCCAGATGTCTGAAAAAGGCTGGATTTACATGAGTGACTTTGATGTTCTGATGATCAATCTTTAGTTGGTGGTTTGATTGACCCTGGTTTGGTGTCTCATCAGTGGGGCTCGGCAGGAGTAGGTACCAGAGGTTTCTGTTCCTTTGGTGGTTAAGCCAGCCTTGGTAAACCCCTATGCACCCTCTCCGTGAACTCTGGGAGATCATTGATCAAACTGCCCTGCGTTTGCTTTGTTTGCCTCCCAGACTTCAGCACTCAAAAGTCCACAAACAACAACCAAAACAATGCACATGACCAGAGAGAGCCGGCTGCATTTGAGAAAATGTTAGACATCCGTCGGTTTGAGTGTTGCTCTTGACCTTGATTTGCTCATCTTATTTGACTTATGAAATCGCATTTCTAACAACTGGCAAGACGAGGATAATTCCACACTCATTGTTAAGCATGCCAAGTGGGAGAAGATTCTTCCAAAAACCACCTACTTGAATCCATCAGCACAAGATTGAAATGCCAAGATCTGCTGCACTTCCAAACACACTGTGCATTTTTCCCTCTCTCTCTTTATGTCTTGGAGACATCCTGCCAAAACAGCTGGGTTTTGCCACTCGATTTTCCATGAATGTGTTTATTTATACTCCGAATGTCAAGAGAGTTGAAATATTATGATCAAGAAAAACTGACAGCTGTAGTTAAATGCTGTGCAGTATGTAAGCTTTTCTCTCTTTAATTTTTTAAAATAAAATATGCCTTTTAATACCCCTGATGATATGAGAAATGCATTTAATATTTTTTATTAATATATTCAGACTTACCTTAATTAAAATAAAATGTTAATCAGTTCAGTTGCCTAACCTGCAATCAGTGATCGAATATGCATGATGACGAGAGATTTGTTTCACTGGAGACTTTCCAGCATTCTTAATGCTATAAGCTGAATTTAAGAGTGGCATCTGTTCAGTGATTGTCAATAATTTAGTCTTCTTCATTAATGTATTCATAATGTTTTTTTTTATTTCAGCCTCCACGGACTGGTAATTGTCCTGCAAATCTCTCTGCAGAGAATAGGTGCAGCTTAAACCACCTGGAGATTTGAGTCCAGCTCAGAATAAGGTTTAGATGAATATGTACATTTTTAGACACGACTGATTCCTTTTTTTCACCAGCAGAAATGTTAAAATGGACCTTTTGACCTCTGTAAAGATTTTTGTTATTTGTGCTGGCCTTGTAACCTAAATGCATGTTCTAATCCAGCCTAGCAACACAAAACAAAACACTGCATTACAGACAGCAGACTGAGGTCAAGTCTAATGAACTTAAACTGAAACTACACTCAAAAGGAAACTAAATGGAAGGAGTTCATGGTGCAATGCTTAAAGAAAGGGGCATTAAGTTTAATGTATTTCTCTGCTTTTGCACATTTTTCTTTTTACAGGTTGTTGAGTCAAATTCAAGTTTCTGATGCTGGACATTAACAATGGTTTCCAAGTTGAAGTCAGGACCCTGCTGTGGGTCATAAAACCACTCTTCAGATAATCTCCAGAAATTAAATTCAACAGAAAAATAATTCTCAGAAGAACATTTTCACTAAAATTGATGTAAATGCTAAATAAAATATAAACAAAGGGATATAAGTGCCAAATTAATTAAAGGTACAATAAATAAGAATTTTACATGGTGGAAGGAAGGTTACATTGAAACAGATTTCCTCCTCAGCCGGCGGGGAGGTTCAGTTTGTTTTCTTTCTAAAAGGCCAAAGAAGGACGTAGCCTTTGTTTACTATCTGTCTCGGCTAACACTACTGCGTCTGCATTTTTAATTTGACACCAGCCGGTAAAAAGCTCCAGAGTTGTGGACAGTATGCTGACCTGCAAAAGGAGCAGCCCAGAAGTTATTTCTTGTACCCCCAAGAAGCCACAACAAACGTTTGTTTTGCTCTAACACAAAAGTGTTAGATGATAAACTTGGGCTGCCAAATTTCCTGTGTGTGTGTGGGTGTGTGTGTGTGTGGGGGGGGGGGGGGGGGGGGGTCTCAATATTACAGTGAACAGTATGTATCTTCTTATCACCTTCCCGTGTATGACTGGTCTTCACTCATCTAGAATCTTCTGGTGCTGAGCTGTAAATGGCAACAGCCAGGAAACTCAGGGGACAGCAGTGAGAAAGTCGCTTGTTTGTTTTGAAAATAGACTGCAGTACTCACATTTGACCACAGGATGTCACTCTTACTTTCCTCACACATTGTGTTTTCATTCTGGATTTGTCTGTTAGCCTTTTATAGCCTAACCTTCTCTGCGTCTAGCGGTAGAGTATCCGCCCTGAGACTGGGAAATCAGGGTTCAGACCCCAATGGGGTCATACCAAAGACCTTAACAATGGGACCTAATGCCTCTCTGCTTGACACTCAGCTGTGAGGGGTTGGATTGGGGGGTTAAACCACCAAATAGTTCCTGAGCGCAGCCATAGCTGCATAGCTTCCCACGAGGAAGGGTCAAATGCGTAGATGAATTTCACCAGTGTGTGATGATGACTAATGAGACTTTAGGGTGAGGGTGTGTGTTCATCCCTACCTCTGCATCCCACTCAGATACAAGGTTTGCTCTGCTAAATGAAGCAACTGTTGGACTGTAAATCACTCCATATTCTGTATTGTTCATTAGTTCTGCCATATCTCACTTACTGTATAGAGCTTTGGGGAAACAATTATAAAAATGCACTGCACCCCCTATCACTATTGCAAAAGAGGGTAATGTGTGTCATTCATAAAGTTGGGTATCTGGATCATACAAATTCTTTGTTTTTACAGTCAAAATACATTAAACTTCAAGACCTGGTTCATTATCAAACAGCTCAAATCATGTTTAAAGCTAGTAAGCACTTATTGCCACCTAATATTCAAAAGCTCTTCAACTAGAGTGATGAGGGATGTCATTTATGAAGGACAAAAAAATTAAAAATGACTGTAAGAACCGCTAAAAGGAGCTTCTGTGTATCAGTATGTGGTGTGAAACTGTGGAATGGGCTGCAGGAAATACCCAAACAGTGTCCAAATATAAACAAATTTAAATCACTGTATTAAAAAAATAATAATTAATGGATATGAAAATGAGGTTCTCTGAGGTTATGGAAACTATGATATTGTCATTATTATTTTTGCTGTTGTTTAAGTTATTATTATTATTATTATTATTATTATTATTATTACTAGTACAATAAAATGTTGATGCACAATGCTCTCATTAGTAGCTGCATATATATATTAATATGTATGTATGTATGTATGTATGTATGTGTGTGTGTGTGTGTGTGTGTGTGTGTGTGTGTGTGTGTGTGTGTGTGTGTGTGTGTGTGTGTGTGTGTGTGTGTGTGTGTGTGTGTGTGTGTGTGTGTGTGTGTGTGTGTGTGTGTAGGTATGGATGGTAACTTGTAAAGTATGTTAGTAATGTGAGACAAGGGGGTGGGATTGAATAAGCACTTGCTTCTTCTCACTCCCTTTGGACAAAGACTTCTTTTTTATTGGTATATCTTTTCTTTTCTACTATGTTCATTGATTTTTTTTAAATATTTTGTCTTATGTTCAATTAAACGTTTTAATCAATCAGTCCCTACACACAAAAGGTCTCAGTCTAGATTGTTTTCTTTTGTTATTCTATGATGGAAGAAGAAGCCTTGAAAACATTTATCACTCTCTAATAAGACAATTCAGTGAAAACCTTCTCATCTACCTTCTCCAAAGTGCCTGACCTGCACTCCTGTTCCATCTGTATCCTTATTATCTCACGCCATCATGCCGCAGGCAATAATTTTTGTGCCATGGCTAAACGTCTCATGAACCACTGGATGGATTTGATTGAAGCTCACAGAAAGAGATTTATGGAGTTAACCCAAGTCCAGATACTAATCAACCTTAGCTGACAGAAATAGTTATAACTCAGTCTTCTTTCTCTTTGGGCTTTTCACCTAGGTGAATCATCAGTCTCCATAGTTCTCTCTTCTTCTACCCTCACACCAGCTACCTTCATGTCCTCGTTCACCACATACATAAATCTCCATATTTGCTCTTCCTCTCAGCCTTCTGCCTAGTGGCTCCAACCTCAGTGTCCTATGTAATCATTGTCTCCTCCATCGATCACCAGTGGTCCAAATTGCTATAACTCAGTCAGCTTTGTAAATGCTGAGCTACACTTTCAGATCATAGTAGCTGAGAGTCAGTCACAACACATAGTCTGAGAGCCAAGAGCAAGAGAGCCAGAAAAACTTCTTGATGTGATCACATCTGTTATTTTCCCATCTTTCCTAAACACAAGTAGCCTGACAAGCCATCGTATACATGTAAATACACTGTCCAGCCAAAAAGGAGCCACCACCTGGATTAAACCAAGCAAATAGGTATAAGCCTCCGACTGGATAATTACTGCATGGGTGATTATCTTTCAGCTGGCAACAAGTTATTTAACCCTAACTGGTGCAACAAGTTGCTTCTCATTTCTTCAACAACCAATTTGAAAGACACACCTGGTGGTTGTGGAAAAGATGTTAGTCTGTGTGAGAAGGGTCAGATCAGTGGCATGCATCAAGCAGAGAAAACATCTAAGGAGATTGCAGAAAAGGCTAAAACTGGGTTAAGAACTGTCCAACGCATTATTAAAAACTGGTCTGATGAATCCAGATGGACCCTGTTCCAGAGTGATGGTGCATCAGGGTAAGAAGAGAGGCAGATGAAGTGATGCACCCATCATGTCTAGTGCCTACTGTACAAGCCTGTGGGGGCAGTGCTATGATCTGGGGTTTGCTGCAATTGGTCAGGTCTAGGTTCAGCAACAGGATGTGCTCCAAGAATGAGGTCAGCTGACTATCTGCATTTTCTGAATGACCAGGTTATTCTGTCCTCCCTGATGGAACAGGCATATTACAAGATGACAATGCCAGGATACATTGAACTCAAATAGCTTGATTTGGGCTTTAGTGAGCCAGTAATTAGAGTGATAATAAATACTAGTCTGATCATCATAACAGTAGAAGTGCTTTAATGAATAAAAGATTATAGTTTCATAACTCTGAAGGTTTGATGTTATAGCTCCAACACTAACAGCAAGAGACCTTTGTAACCTTCCTGATCAGATGTGGAAAAACATAACTAATTTGACTATACATTCATACTGCCCGAGAGCTTTTCCCCAGCCCTTTCAAATGAGCCTCTGCCTCCATGGAATTACCGTATGCAAAAGAGCCGGGCGCTGCAGTCAGAGATCTCATGGCACTGCAGGCCTTCCCCATGGTGAGCACATCTCACAGTTGAGGAAACATGCCTGCTACAGGTAGGTGTTCCAGCTGGGGTGGCCAGCTTTCCAACCACAGAAGTTCATAACACCCCCTCCCTGAGGAAAGACTCTATTGTACCATGAATCCTGATCCACACCAGTCGGTTTGCATCCAGATGCACAACAACAGAGGAACACTCTTTCCACCAATCAGCATCACGGGTCAAAGTTTGCTTATTATTAGAATGGACAATAATAACAGGACAAGCCTGCAGTTAGATGCAAAACCCAAATACATGTTTGACAGTGCTGAAAACTGAAGGTTTGAAACTAAAATAGACTAGGTCAAAAGTCATGCCAACATTTAGCATCCGCTTGATTTCATTTGGCTTAAAGTGGGTGAACTGTATCGTGTTTCATTTTCTTTGATTACACACAATTCTGCAAGTTTCAGCATCAAAATCTCTAAATATTTTACAAAAACAAAATCTTGAAAGTAGACAAGTGAAGAATTGTCTTTGACTGCTCACACATGTTCTGTGATGCTGCTGTGGACCATGACTAAATGGGCTGGGGTCTCCATACCCCAGGTGAGTTTTGGAAACGGGGGTGCCTATGGGGGCCAGCGGGGCAGCTGGTTCCCAGAGAGGGCTTGGGCCACCCAGTCTTTCCTCCCCATCCTCATATTCCCCTCCTCCTGCTCTATCACATCACCAAACACAAACGCACAGAAGGCCTTGAGGTGTGGGTAAGTTCAGGGGGTATATGTATGGTTCTCTACACTGCAATCCAGTGGCGGCCTACACCCCAGTTGTAATTTACATATTAAACACTCCCACCAACGTCATTCCACACAAATGCATAATTTGGGCCTTGGGGGTGAGAACACTTGACGGCACCTGGAGGGTAGGATCTGTTCACTCAGCCTCACCTCGGGTGCTGGTGCCCACTTCCAATTTTAAGCTGCACCTAGACACTGAGGGTTCTGGGGGTAATTAGGGTTGTGTGCTGACACCAACTGGTGTAGACCGGATGACTTGCTCCTAGTGGCTGCTTGGTGGGGTCTGAACCCCCAGCCTCTGTCAGGTCTCTGCCATGGTTGGGTGCCTTTGAGTCCCGGACCGCTGGGTTTCGAGCTCAGCCTGCCTAGGAGTGGGCGGTTGCAGGCTTGCCATTACAGGTGCTCACATGGGGCTCTCACAAGTATGGACTTGGGCATTTTTGACACAAAACCTAAGTCTGTGGTTGGCTCAAAATGCACTGTAAATTATTACCATGTGCTTTTTAGCAAAAAGTGTTACTGGTATTTATCCTCATGTTGTTGGTGCAGTGATATTTTGGTTCTGTTGTACTTTTTGTGTGTGCCCCATTTTTTTTCTCTCTCTCTCTCTCTTTCTGCAAGTAGAAGCAGATTCCATGCTTTCGTTCTTTTTTAAACACAGAAACAGTTTTGTTTACCTGTTTTGTAGCTACAGTTTTGCCGTAGAAGCAGATTCTTTTACATCCTTTATTGTTTAATTAGTGAACTTTTCCCCCACCTTTTTTTTTCCTTTCCCCCTACATTTTTCACTTCTGTGTCCGTTGAAATGTAAAACAAACACTTTTCTAATAAAGTTTTGATATCAGGCAGGGCATCATTGCTAAGTCTATAACCCTCCACTTGTCTTTGGCACTCAGACATCCATTCTGATTGTTTCACAACCGACATGGAAAGAAAAGAATGGACTATAATAACAGGACTAACCTGCACTTAGATGCAAACCCCAAAAACAATGTTTGACAGAGCTAAAAGCTGAAGGTTTGAAACTATAAAATAGACAAGGTCAAAAGTCATGCTAACATTTTGCATCTACTTTATTTCATTTGGTTTTAAGTGGGTTTATCTTGTATTTTCTTTGATTACACAAAATTCTGCCAACTTTAGCATCAAAATCTCAAAATAGTTTATAAACTATATAAAAAAGGTCATCTTGAAAGTCCGAAAAGCCAACTTTCAGTTTCCCATGTGGGGACAGACCTGCAAGTCGAGGTGAAAGGAGCGGACTGACCCCCATAAGGACAAACAAACAGAGGTGTCTTTAGTGAGGATGCAGGAGCCTGTTCGGATGGGATGAAACAGTGACTGGATGAAACCCAACACACACACACACACATAGTCACTCTCTGTTTACACTCTTTAAGGTACTATCAATTTATCATGTATGCACACTGACATGGTATTCCATGTTTTCAGAAAATAAACCAAAATTCTTAAATAAAATATCTAGAAATGTCGTTAAGTTATTTTTATTTAGGCAAATCGTCCAAAAATACTAATGAGTTCATTACTATATGATAAAATTAGCCCCAGGGCTATTTTTGAACTTCTGTGTATCAAAATAAACTCTGGGGGTATTTTTATAAGATTACAAACCAGCATTACCTTGTTTTTTCACAGGTTGGTTAACTGATTTAAAAAAATCGAGCCATGACGCTTTTGTCCACTGTCGCGCGCGCGCGCGCGCGCGCGCGTGTGTGTGTGTGATGTTTTTTTTACGTCTGTGGCTTCCGATCACTTTTCCACTACCACTTCACCCGGAACTCGCATGTCCAAATAGAGAGGCGAAGGGGCGGGGCCGGACACTGCCTTATTTGGAGCTTCCACTCCATGGGCCACTCTGGGCTCCAAGTCAAAGCAAGCCTGTGCAGAGCTTTGCAATATTTACAAACGATTAACTCCGTCAATTACGGCCTTTGTGTGACAGTGATGCGGATTGAAAGGAGGGCTTTGAAGCACAGTTCTGCAATCCAGGACCGCACAAAGTGTGTGCAAGTTCACCAGGAGGAAAATGGGAATGCTGAAGTTTTGTCCTGCAGAACTTTTATGTAGATGAAGAAACCCGCTCCTGAAATTAACACACTGTTTATCCACACAGTTTCAAATGAGCCGTTGTTCTAACTTGTGACAAATTATTTTTTACTAGAGACAAAACACGCTCTTGTTTTGGCCGCGCGCACAGAGAGGCTTAAGATAATCAGAGAATAATAAAGATAAGACCGTTAGTCAGTGTTTGTGTCTGTTACAAGGACGGGGAAAAGCTGGTCCCGAAGAAGGACGCAGCTGGATGTGACATCTGGATTTTGTAAAGTTTATCTCTCTGTCGGAGCCCTTTGCCTCCACTGTAGTTTCCACCGACTGACGCTCGGAGAACCTGAACCTGATCGCCCATGTCCATATATGGTCATCTACGTCACGCAAATGTTCCATCCCCCTCTTTAATACAGACAGACAGGAGTCCCCTATCCAGCTCCAATAGAACAAGAAGAGAGCGGCTCTCGTTCAACCAACGCCACCATCTCCACCTCCATTGATTAACAGACTTCAAATCCCCCCACAAGCAGCCCTACGCGTCCGCTGCGATCAGATTAATAACAAAATCTCGTGAGCGCACAGGGGGAGATAACCAGCGCTGCTCGTCCTCCGCGGGATACTTGGATAGCTACAGCAACAGGATCCCAACCTGCGCCTCTCCTGTCTCCAGCACCTGTGCGCACCTCTCGTGAACACCCGGTGTTCTGCGTGGCCACCTGGATACCTGCGCGCCGCGCTTTTGTTTTAAATGTCGGACTGAATCTTATCTGCTATGACAGGGAAACTGGCAGACAAGATCCCTCTTACCATGAGCAGTTTAATAAACACGATCCCTGACAGTCTGTACCCGGAGGAGGACATCCCCACGTCTATGAATATTTTCACCAGTACGGAATCTATTAACCACTATTCGCAGATGAATACAGGTGAGTTTCATTGTTCTTATTTTATTTTATTTTTTGTCCACTTTTTTATTTAACTGATTCAAACTGCGAGGTGCGAGGAGCGGCAACAGTTGTCTCCGGGCTCGAAGCACCTGTTTGCGCTCTGATTCTGCTGCGCGTAAAAGCGCACTCCTGCAACAGCCTCTTACGTTTTAGGAGCCTGGTGTGAATTAGAATCAAATTTAAAACACTATATAAATCTTGGAAATGTGCTTGTTTTCCTTTTGAGTTCAAAATTATAATTTGATTAGAATTTTAGTGACACGTTCCTGAAAAGTGAGAGCACGCACTCTTTTCAAAACTCAGATGAGGTGTCAGATTTAAAGATGCGTGATTTTATCCCCTCGAGGAAACGTCCCGATATGAAATATTCAGCTTTGAGCCTTTTAAGCGTTTTGACAGGAATCTGAGAATTTGGCACAAGATGTGGTCAAACCGCGGTGCTTCAGATTTCATATCCACTCGTCAAAGAGGGTCATGGACTTAAACAATGACTTTCATTCACAACTGTTAACATGCTTATAGTAGGCGTGTGTGGGTGCGTTCTCCTATGTGAAACGCTTTTATGCGCTTTGCCCCATGCACCGGCTTCTATTTAATAAACTGCAGCAGCGCTAATATTGATCAAACTATAAAAAAAGCTTATTTTACATTATTATCATCCTTTAATTGATGGGAGAAGCCCTGCGCGTAAAGACGGGTCACAGAGACGTTTTGGCATTAAATAAATCAGAACAGCTTGGAAAGGTGATGGAGGGAATGAAGTTGTAAAGTTGATATTGGAATTAAGATTAAATATTTTATTCTAAATATACCGTCATTGCATTTAATGTTCAAATTAAAATAACTGAACGAGTTTGAGTGTTTATCTAAAAACAAAAAAGCGTTTTCTTATTCATCACATAATGTGTGCGTTTGGATTTCATGCGCTCTGTGTGGCAAATTAAAGGCTCCTTCTTATCTGCCAAAAAATACGAGTCTAAGTTCATAAAATACACACGTTTTTTTCATACAGGCAATTGTACATATTTTATATTTTATTAATAAAAAAGAAACACTCACATGGATTTACTTCAAATTTTTTGAGTCTATTATCTGATATTTCCACATAAACTATTCAGTTCAAGACATTTGTGTGTTTTTATTTTTTTATTTTATTTGGAGCAAAAGGAAATAGCAATTGGCATGGTGTGACTGAACAGGTGTGCCAGTGATGAGAAACGGAAAGAGCCCAAAACTTTCAATTTCAAATCTCATCCCTCAAAATTTAAAAGGCTGAGAAAAAAATATATTAAAATCCATAAAACATATATTTTTCATATGCATTAAAATGAAAGGCCACAGATGTTCCTAACATACACATGTGGTAAAGGATATTTGGTTAAAAATGCCAATTGTTTTTTCAGCATTTAAACTGGCAGCACTGGCTCTGTCCTGCACCTTGTTAAAGGAAATAAAACATTTGTTAATTTTTTTTTACAAATATCCTTATTTAAAAAATATTTATCTTTTTTGAGAATGACAACTACATAAATAGTATATTAAATATGTCTAAATATTAGGTCTGGATTAGGCTTTTTTACATTTGGATCAAGCCAAAAGTGTGTGTGTGTGTGTGTGTGTGTGTGTGTGTGTGTGTGTGTGTGTGTGTGTGTGTGTGTGTGTGTGTGTGTGTGTGTGTGTGTGTGTGTGTGTGTGTGTGTGTGTGTGTGTGTGTGTGTGTGTGTGTGTGTGTGTGTGTTTGATAAATCGCATGATACGTGCAAATAAAACCTCACAAAAACAGAAGAGGACACACTTAAACTTATTTTCAGATGTCCTTTGTTGTGAATGCGTCTTGAATTCTTGAGTGTTATAGAATGTGGCGTCTGCCTTGTAATCCTCCCTGCCGTTAAGACATCAGATCTCCGTTTGGCTGTCCTCCTGAGGGACACAATGACTGGATCAAAGGGGGTGTTTTAGGTCTTGATTTATGAGGGCTTGTGGGATCTGAGAGAGAGTGAGAGACTCACACACACCACTCTTTCAGGCGCAGCTCTCTGTCACTTAACTTCCAGGTCTGACAGAGTTCACGTTTCTTCATGAACTGTAGGAGAGTTTTCCCTTTTTTCTCCTCTTTTTTCATCTTTATCAGAATTTTCGATGAAAAGTTTGATTTATTAAGTAATTGCTGTGATTTAACTTCATTACGATAAAGTTACATTTCTTCTTTATTTTATTTCTTTTTATTTGATTCTGCCTCATCACTTTAGTAACATTTTTCTCAGATTTTTTCAGAAATTAGAGGATGTCTAATGTTTTGTCTTTGGATTTGCTTTTGTCTAGATAACATCATGGACCTGGGCATGGGGAGTGAGAAGGCAAACTCAGAGATTCAGTATGGATCCAGCTTCCAGTCCAACCGCAGCGGGCAGACCGTCACGTACCTGGGGAAGTTCGCCTTCGACACCCCTCCTTCAGGTGGAATTAGTGGCTCGGGCTGGTGCCCCGACAACAACATCATCAGTCTAGTGAGTGCAGGGATCTTAGGCGTCTCTCCATCGCCCGGCACGGTAACGACGCAGACATCGTCCTCCGCAGCCAGCATGGGTGGACAGACGTCAGACATGGAGCAGGTGTATGGTCCGCCGCTGCCTGCCTATTCCACCTGCAGCGACCTATACCAGGATCAGGTGTCTTTTCACCACAGCCCTGCCACCAGCACAGCTCTAGCCTACCCTGGCAATGACTATCACTCCACATCCAAAGCCCCCATGGATGGCAGCCTGTTTTCCATGATCCCTGACTACAACCTTTTTCACCATCAGGGAGATGTTGGCGTGATGGAGCACAAGCCCTTCCAGACCATGGACCCCATCAGAGTCAACCCTCCACCCATCACACCCCTGGAGACCATCAGAGCATTCAAAGACAAGCAGCAAATCCACCCAGGTTTCATTGGCGGGCAGCAGCACCCGCCTCAGCACCACCCCCCACCTCAGACTCTCACTCTCAAACCCATCCGGCCTCGGAAGTACCCCAACCGTCCCAGCAAAACGCCTGTCCACGAGCGGCCGCACGCCTGTCCAGCAGAGAACTGTGACAGACGCTTCTCACGCTCAGACGAGCTCACGCGTCACCTCCGCATCCACACAGGTCACAAACCCTTCCAGTGCCGAATATGCATGCGTTCCTTCAGCCGGAGCGACCATCTGACCACACACATTCGCACACACACTGGAGAGAAGCCCTTCTCGTGCGAATTCTGCGGTCGCAAGTTTGCCAGAAGCGATGAGAGAAAGAGACATGCAAAAGTTCACCTGAAACAGAAGGACAAGAAGCAGGCGGACAAGAGCAGCGGGGCAGCCGGGAGCCACAGCTCACCGCCCAGCTCCTGTGGAGGGCCGTCGGTGGGAACGTCATGACCATCGCTACGTGCACATGGACTAAAGCCCAGAGCATAAAGAGACTCAAGAGGAAAGGATCAGGTCCACTCTGAGATATCCTCTTGCCGTTTACACACCTGCTCTTTCCAGGTCCTTCTGTTTTGAGATGGATGCCTTCAGTTTAAGTAAGAGGGGAAGGGCTGCTTTCCTTTTCATGTTTTAAGCAATTCAAAGCCTCAGCCACTGTAACACAGCGTCAACACAAAGAAGGGTGCTTTAGCACGTTCTGTCAGACCGGCCTCGGTGTGTCAGTGGGCTCTGAGGATACACTCGTGTAAATTTTACAGAAACGTTCCGTAATAGGAGTGGAAACAGTCAAAACAATAACAAAGCTCAGTGAAAGGGTGTGTTGTCTGGGATGTATGCATTAATTCTATTAGGCTGTTTAAAAGTGCAATTGGTTATATTTGTGTGCCGTCATGACTACCTTATTAGTGGCGCGTGACTGTCTCTTTGTTGTTTTTGTTGAGGTGTAGTGTTTTTTTTTCTATTTGAATGTTTTTGTTTGTTTTTTTAAAGAATGTGCCAAATGTTTTGTGTGTGTGTGTGTGTGTGTGTGTGTGTGTGTGTGTGTGTGGTGATAAAGCCAACCTTGTTCTTATATTTGTGCCTGACATTTGCCAAACCCAACAGTGGAATCAGCTTAGCACAGTTGTTGAAATAATAAAAAGAAAAATAATCTAATTTATTCACCAAAAAAAAACCAGATTTAGACAAACCTGCACCATTTTAAGACTGACTGGGTCACACAGAGTTTTGTCCTGTTACGTGTACTAACATGCCTGCAGTACCGGATGCTTTTGCCAATACTTATTTATTTTCAGTCACTATGAAACACTGTGTGTTACTCTTTTTTACGGTGGCTTTACGTTGTGTTGCCAAATGTAATTTCTGTCGTGCTTTTTTAAAAATCCCACCTATTCTGTTCATTTCTCATGAGTTCTGCAATATGCAATTGAAAAACAACATTTACCAATAACTCGTATTGAATTAACTGAGAACATGGATATACTGCACTATTTAATAAAAAGAAATAAACATACACTGGCTTGCAAACAAGCAGTGCAGAAAAGATGAGTTTGGAAAACAAATGAGGTCTTTTCTTTGTGCTTCTAAGTGTGAAAAGGTTGAACTATTTATAAAAGATGAGAGGTAAATGGTAAAACTAATAAAAAGAAAAGCAAAATCCCTCCAATCCCATGTTTACATCTTTTCTAAGACAGAGACTGGGCTGTAAACTGAGATGTTTTTTTGTACAGTATACAAATGCGTAGCCTCAGTGAAAACTCCCTATTTGTACTCCAGTGTCAAATACACCATAAGTCAGTATTAGATTGTGCATAAATGTGCATTCATTCATGCACACTATGTATATACAAATGACTTGCATAAACGGAGACTTTCAATTCACTGAATGCTTACGCAGGTTGTATCTTAAAATATTTTAGTAATATAGTTATATTACAAATTATTTTGTTGTTTTAGGTGAAGGCAAAAAAAAAACATTTTGGATCAATGCAGGAGTGCAAACAATGGTGTTCTATCTCCACATTTAAGGAAAAAAATATTCGGCACGCTGCGATGGACTGGCTCTCTGTCCAGGGTGTACCCCGCCTGATTGCCCATTGACCGCTGGAGATAGGCACCAGACCCGACCCCCCGCGACCCTACTTGGACAAAGCGGGTTCAGACAATGGATGGATGGATTCAGCACCATCTGCACGCTTTCAAGTGGAAACCGGTTAAAGGAAGCGCTATGTGGTCTCTGAATTTAAATTTATTTATTTATTTGTAATTTTGTCCTCTCTATATAAAACACTAATATTCAAGACATTCTCCCAAATAACTGAAACAAAATATGTGCACATTATCTTTTCCTAAGGATTCACTGACCTTTGCTATCTTTTTTGATAAAAGAAGATAAAACTTGATTTTTTTATAATTTCGTGAAACATTTTATTGGACTTCTCACTGGTTTCACATGCATTTTATCTGTGTTGGCAAATATAATTTCAAAAGCACAATTTCATTTTTCCTCCTCTGTGCCTGCATGTAGGTCTGCAGTTACTAACTTTAACAGGTATTGTAGCAGTGCATAGCTAAAAAAAAATTGGTAAAAAAAAAAGAAAGAAAAAAAGAATAAGAATCAAATAAGAGACGACATTATAAAACAACACTCTGGCACTAGATTGTTTTTGTGAGTTTTCTCTTCTTTTCTTGTTGAAGGAAACTTTTGGATTTGTTCCAAATTCTCACGTTTTCTCTCCAACACAAAAATAATTTCCATTTGCTCTCTTTTAAACCATTTTTCTCATGCATTTCTATCACCCCATTAGCTGAGATCCTTAACTGCAAAATAAAATGTCCATAAACATTGTTAAATCCTGCTGATATTAAAATAAAAACACAGTACCGGTCAGCCAATATGGCAGTCAGGCTCAAACAGGATGTGAGCCGACAAAGGCAAAGGCCAAAGGAAAGATTCAGGCAAGTGGTGCCACAGAGAACACGGTGCATGCAGAAATGAGCTTCACAGGCCACACTGTTTGTCCTGGAACGGTTTTCACTGCTGAGCCTTCTGGCAAGGATCCATTCATTTTCCAATTAATTTAGCCTCAGAGAGTCTTTTCTGCACTCATCTACGTCACGAAATGAACAGACCTCCTTGCACTTGTTTAAAAAAAGTTTAAAAGTTCATGCAGCCTGCAACATTTAACCTGATACAAATCATTTAGTTCGCAATGTGAAACACAAAATCTCCTGCATTAATAGTTCAACTTAAAATTTATTTTTGTTCCAACACAAAACATTACAGTAAAATGCTCTTGAAGCAACATTTTTATTTTGGAGTTGGGTGTTACATTAACTTTCTAATTCATAATCTGTAATAATTAATTTATCTTTGCACATTTGATAGCAACGATCCAGCTCATAAGCAGCAGCTGCTGTGAATCAGCAGAAGACTAGAAAACCAAAAATGTGTAGTTATTGTTTGAAAGGTTTGATTCGTCACAAAAGATTTTGGGTCACCAAAAGACAAAATAGTTTAAAAGATTGGGTCACACTTTACAATAATGATACCTTTATTAACATTATTTGGTGCTTTATTAAGGATTAATAAACTGTTAAATAAAGTAATAGCAACTGTTTAACCATGTTAAGTAATGCATTACTAAGCAGACACCCCCTTGGCCCTTTGTCCTAACATTAAGGACACTTAATAGTTAATAATAATAGTAACGTTGATAAAGGGATCCTTTGTTTGTTAATGCTTAATAATGCACTAACGTTAATAAAATAAACCTTACTGTAAAGTGTTGTGATACATTTTCTTTGTATTGCAGAATGATGCAAAGTGAGGCAGACGCCACAATGTCCACATGAGATCCCCATTCTGTGTGATATTTTTGTACATTTTGTAAAAAAAACTTTTTACAATCCGCCTCCATTCATTCCTCCATTAGGCTCTTAAAATACAACATGGGCTTCCTGGTGATCTTACTGTATTGTGTGGATGCCCTAGAGAGACACAAACCACCAATTTAAACAAAAATAAAAGCTCAGCTTAAACATTTATCCAGTAATAGCTTCTGCGCTTTATGCTCGGTTGGACAAAAGTAGGCGGCTGACGGTTCTGAAGTTGGGATGTGCCCATCCACGTTCTCGTCCCTGTGTTGGAACTGTGCCAACATCAGCATGCCATCTTTGCCCCAAACTGGGTTGCAGGGTTGGCTGATCAAAAACAATACATGAGCTGAACTCCACAGGAGCAACAAATCATAAATGTGACCTCTGTCTGCTTGTAGCTGAAAGCAGCTCATGTTTGTGTGTGACTGTTTCAGTATTTTTTTTTATTGGCCTCTGGAAAGGCTGTGGGCTTCACTTATGACAATGATGAATAATTCTAATTAAATATCTTGAAAACTAAACTAAAAAACATTTTTGTGACTTCAATATCATGTAGATAATCTAGGCTACTCATGTCTTATACAAACAAGAAAGTGGCTTCAGGGGATTGGCGGGCTTCAACACTGGTGTTGAGATGGAGTCGATACTGTTTTCTGTTGTGTCGTGTTTCCTTTCACAAACAGAATACCCTCATTTTTGCATGTGCACGGACATGTTTCAAAGTGCTACCCACAGATGCAGTGGGTGGTGCTCGTTTCTTTATTATGCATGAAAAAAAAGTCACACTGAGTGAAACGGGAGAAACTTAATACGCAAGACCGACAATTGGAAACACACCATGGCTGTTCTGTTGGCTTTTTCATTTCTTTTCTTTTCGTTGAAAAAAACAAGGAGTTTTGTTAAAAGTGTTGTGGATGTCTTTTGCCTATTTCTTGTTTTTAATTACCTTATAATAAGGTCCTTTTATGACGAGCTGAATATTTAAACGAATTTGACTATATCCTTGTGATGGGGAGATGTGTTCCTCTGTTTACCTTCAGTTAGTTGTAATGCAACTGTTTGGTTATTTCAATGTAAGTACTTGAATAAAGAAAAATATAACTTACCTTCACTTTGCTTGGTTTGTCTTTGATTGGCATCTGATTCCCAGCTTTTTTTCCTGCAGATTAGGAAAAGGTTTCGCAAATTTTGTGGGCATTTGAATCTTATTGGTAATCGGCTAATTTTAGTTAAATACTATATACCAAATGTAAATAATTTCAAACGGATGTGCTGTGAACCATTTTATTTTCTTATTTTGAAATGATGATTTCCTTGCTTGTTTGACCTCTGGACCAACGGTTAAATCAGGTCAAGGTCAAAACCTACAACTATATCCAATCAGGTTTGGTTTATCCTACACAGACCATAGATCCCAGAAAGCTCAGGTTTTCATCTGTGACGTGTTTATTATAGGCTGGGGGAGTCCAAATTAGAAATTGACATCTATGGGTTTTTCTATTGCCGATTCCAATTTGTAAATGTCATTGTCAGCTAAAATGTGCTGCTGATTTTTGGGCAAAATTTCATGACTGATATCTAGATTTTTTCCACCTTATTTGCAATCAAAAATATCACTGATAAAAACAGTGGAGGCACAATAGTTCTGATCTTGAATCCGTTTTTAACTCAGAACTTAACCAATTCTTGAATCTTGGGTTTAGGTTGTAAAAAATTTCCTTTTTATTATATTATATATTTGCACTGTTTAAAAATAGGTTTCCCGTTAGTAGAAAATCTGAACATTACATTTGTTAAAAGTGTTGAGCTACATCAACAGCCTGCTAGCCTGGCAAGTTATCCTATTTATATCTGAATAAACTGTCTGGCCACGACCCATGGGGAAAGTTCCGTTGATGAGCGGAATCTACAGTCGTCTTTCAAACTGTCTCCACATGCTATTGGACAACGAACAATGTGACATACTCAGCGCTACTGATGCTAGTCCACGGGACAGTCCACCATTCACTGTCAAAGGACTTAGTTACCTCTATCTGTGCTTGACTCAAAGAAAAGCACAAGTCTAAATAGTCCACTTTTGATGCCAAAGTTGTTCCGCTTTGTCACATCATCACCAATCCGACAAAGCGTAGTGATTGGCCCACCAAACGTTAGGTTATGCATATAACCACTGTTCCCTGAAGAAGAAGAACGAGGTACAACGAAGGTACTATGGGACATCACACCTTCGTGTGGCCTGGCTGAAGACACATTTAATCACGCCTGTAAGGCAAATGAAAGTGACGCTGCGTGGAGGCCCCGCCCTCCACTTATAAGCAACTCCATTGTCGTTCCTCAGTTCGATAGCCGCTCTTCACCATGTTGGGCTGTGAATGGGACAGCCCTGCGTTGTACCTCATTCCATTCCTCTCCTTCAGGGAACAGTGGTTATATGCATAACCTAACGTTCCCTTTCAGTCGATTCACTCGGTACAACGAAGGCACTATGGGACTTATCGAAATGCCCCATGAGCAGCTATCAAACCTGACCTGAGATTGCAACCTAAGATGGCAAGTCAGATCCAGCAGAGAGAACCGCATGGGCCACCGAAGGGGCCAAAACATCCAAGCGGTAAAACCTCACAAAGGTGTGGGGTGTAGCCCAGCTTGCAGCTGAGCAAATGTCACCAACTGAAACACCTTTAAACAGCGCCCAAGAAGCAGCCACACCTCTAGTAGAGTGTTCCCTGACCCCTAGGGGCAGCAGGGAGCCAGTGACGCTGTAACACAGGGAAATGGCCTCCACAATCCAATGACAAAGTCTTTGCTTCGACAAAGCTTTCCCCATGGAGGGTTTGGCAAAACACACAAACAGTTGGTCTGTTTTTCTGATACTCCGAGTGCGATCTATATAAGCCTGCAGAGCACGAACCGGGCACAGACAATGCAGTCTCCTCTGCTCCTCAGAGGCAAAAGGGGGACTACTGAAGCTCGAAAGCTCTATGGTCATGGAACTGTAGTTGAGCCGGATGACCTTAGGCATATATGCAGCATTCTGATGCAGAGACCCTAGCTCCATCTGATGACATTTTCAGACAGGAAGGGTGAACTGAAAGAGCATGAAGGTCTCCCACCCTTTTAGCCGATACAAGGGCTAAGAGCAGAGCTGTCTTATAAGACAGAAGCTTCATCCTGATCTATTCAATAGGCTCAAATGGGGGACCACACAGGGCCTCCAGCACCAAAGCGAGGTCCCAAGAAGGGACAGATGATCTAATAACAGGTCTTAGTCTGCGAACCCCTTTCATGAACCGAACAGCTAAAGGGTGAGCGCCAGGAGAAACTCCATTAAAAGATTTGTGGGAAGCCGAAATGGCTGCCTTTAAAGTGGAGAATGACAAGCCCTTCCTGTAGAAACGACAGAATGTCCACAATGGAGCTCTGTGAGGGAACTACTGACCTGCTCAGACACACCACACTTCAAAAGCCTTCCACTTATAGGCATATAAACCCCTAGTGGAGCATGCTCTTGAGCTCTGAATAGTATTCACCACTGCCGGGGGAAGACCTTTAGCTAACAGGTTGGACCTTTCAGTAGGTAGGCCTGCAGCTTCCACAGATGTGGGTGAGGGTGCAGCACTTCCCTTTGTGCCTGTGACAGAAGGTCCTGTCTGATGGGGGGCTTCCATGGGGGAGCTATCATCAGACTGATGATCTCCGGGTACCAAGACTTTGTGGGCCACTGAGGGGCCACCAAAATCAGAGATGTGCTCGACTTGTGCACTCTCTCCAGTACTGCTGGAATCAGTTCCACCGGCAGAAAAGCGTAGAGAACGTTGGGCCAAGGGTGCGCAAGAGCATCCGATCCCATTGGAGCAGTCTGATCCGTCAGGGAAAAGAACAGGGGACAGTGTGTGTTTGCGCTTGATGTAAACAGATCCACTACTGCTCTGCTGAACCTCAGCCAGATCTGGGACACCACCTCAGGGTGGAGCCTCCATTCCTTTGACAGAGGTCCGCCCCTGGAGAGCAAGTCTGCCCCGTGGTTGAGGTACCCGGGGACATAAGCTGCTCTGAGAGACAGGAGATTCAGATTGCACCAGTGCAGCAATGTGTGGGTCAGATTCAGTAGAGGAAGAGAGTGTGTTCCTCCATGTCTGTTTACATATGACACAACAATTGTGTTGTCTGTGCACACCAGCACATGTTGTCCTCTCAGGTGATGATTGAAGTGTTTCAGGGCCAGAAACACAGTTAACAGTTCCAGAAAGTTTATATGGAACCTTGACTGGGTCGAGGACCATACCCCCTTCATCGCTAAACCCCCATACAGAGCCCCCCAGCCTCTGAGGGAAGCGTCTGTGGTCACCACTATGCGTTCTGACACCCTCCCGAATGGGGAACCCTGGCAGAAAAGCCCTGGTTCTCTCCATGGGAGGAGAGCTACCATGCAGGTTCTGGTGACCGTCAACCTCCGGCAGAGATGACGTGAAGGATGGAGATGATAAGAGCAGACCCAACGCTGGAAATGTCGCATTTTTAACAGTCCGAAAGGCACCACGGCTATGGAGGAAGCCATCATCCCCAGCAGCTGTAGAGCTGTGCGGAGTGTCAGTCTGGCTCCCAGCTGAAAGTGTGTTAAGCAACTGCGTAGCGCGGCTATTCGCTGGCCCGAGAGATACGCTCTGCTTGACCGAGAGCAAATTTCCAGCCTGAGGAAGGAGAAACTCTTACTCGGAACTAGAGAACTCTTTCTGTAGTTCACGGAAAACCCCAGGGCTTGAACGTGTGAAAGTACCTGTGCAGTGGGAGCTTCTGCCTGTGTTCGGGAACTTGCTACTAGAGCCCGGTCGTCTAGGTAAGCGAGGATCCAGATGCTCTCCTCCTTGAGGGGGGCTAGTGCGGCTTCCACACATTTCGAAAAGGTGCGGGGCGCTAGAGCTAACCCAAAAGGCAGAACCATGGACTCGTAGGCCTTCCCTTCGAAAGCAAAGCGCAGGAATCGCCTGTGATCGGGGTGGATTCCCACATGGAAATAAACATCTGTGAGATCGATCGTAGTAAACCATTCTCCAGGACTGACTGTATCCAGTAGCTGTTTGAGTGTTAACATTTTGAACCTGTACGTGCGCAGATCCTTGTTTAACACACACAGATCCAAAATAGGGCAAAGTCCGCCCCCCTTTTTCGGGACAACAAAGTAGCGGCTGTACCAACCTTTGTTTGTGTCCTCGACAGGGACCGCTCGAATAGCTCCTTTCAACAGTAGAGTCTGAATTTCCTCTCGTAACATGACCACAGCATCAGTATTTACACATGTCTGCACAACAGAGGTAAATATGGGTGGTTTGACCAGGAACTGCAGTCAGTAACCCATGGCAACCATGGGCTCGACCCAGGGGGACACTGCATGCTCGCCAGAGGTGAAGTTTTACAGCGAGGCAACCGCTCAGCACCCTGGTGGGGGAGCTGCTGCCCTCTAGCGGAACAAGAGGCTTTCCGAACATCATGTCTGCCACCGGAGGAAAGCTGCTGTTCTCCAGCAGAGCGGGAGAACAGCAGCTTTTCCTGCTCCCACAGAGGTCAATTGCAGACAGGATTGAATGTGAAAATTGAGCTGTCATTCACCAGCGGAGCGAGTTGACGCAGCTTTATGGGGCCAATTTGAGAAGCATTGTTGACACACATTGCATCCACACATTGTCGAGTGCAAACAGCAGTCTTTATTACATTTGTGTGCATGTTTTTGTGAAGAGTACAACTCTCGCCCCCTGGGGGGCAGTAAACAAAGTTTCTTTGGACTGTGGGGTTGAACCGTAGCTGAACCGATCCGTTTCAACCATGGAAAACTGGGTTTTTGTAGCCCAACAGGGTCCAAACCCCGAACAAGGTGGGTCCCGGGATCAGGGCGACTGAGGTTTCTTCTTGCAGCTCACAAAGCGTTTCTGTGAGTCCCCAGGAGGGCCTTTACTCCAAGCGGAGTGGCGAGAAGGGAAAGACGGGGTCCGAGCTGGCACCGAGCCCTTCGCTGCCGCTGGACAGGCTGTCCTCTGGGGTGGAGGAGAGGCCAGGTTCTTCCTGTCAGACCAAGGTGCCGTGCGCCACCCTTCCCGCCTGGGAATGATGGAGTGTAGCGCCTCAGTCTGTTTCTGCTGGGCCTCGAACTTCGTCTGAATAGCGTTGAGGGACTGACCAAACAGACCACTGGGTGAAACAGGCTCGTCCAGGTAGTTAGCCCTGTCCCTGTCGGGGACATCAGAAAGGGTCAGCCACAGGTGCCTCTGAGCCACTACAGTTGAGGCCATTCCTCTTCCCAACAGCAGGGCAAAGCCTTGGGCCGCTCGCAGGATGTAGTCCGATGTGACCCGTATCTTATTGATGAGGGGGGTCAGGGGGCTGTCTGGTGGGACCCTTGCTCCAAGGTCTGCCAGGCAAAGTGCTTGGTAGGTCTGGAGCATGGTGAAAGAGCTAAGAACGCGGGCGTTGGAGGCCTGCGCACGGTAAATCTTCTCCAGTTGTGCAGCTGAGAAGCGGCATGGCTTGGAGGGTAGATTAGTTTGTCCACTAACTCCGTTATTGTAGGTCAGAGCCATGTAAACCACGAGAGAGGGCTCCATTGGAGGGAGGTTAACCAATCCCGCCATTTCTGCGTTGTCGAGGTCCGAGAACTGACCGTAACCCGGGACTGTGGTGCGGGTGGATAGCGGCTTGGTCCAGGATGCTGTGAGCTCAGCCACAAAATCCGGGTACGGTGGCAGAAAGTTCTTTACCTCTGCTGGTTCCGAGGGGAGGTAAAATCCAGAGAAGCGGGACTTCTTTTGTGCAGGTGGAGGAGCGGGCCAGTCCACTTCTAGCCTCCCCGCTGCCCGCCGGCAGAGCGGGAGAAAAGGAGTGTCATCACGCAGCTCGGAGGTTGAAGTAGCAGCCGGAGCTGAATACTCCACCGCCAAGAGGACCTCCTCGTCCTCGAGCAAGTCCTGACCGTCGGGGCAAATGTCCAAAATGTCTCCTTCATCCTCTGCCAGAGGAGGAAACTGAGAAGCCTCTAGGTCTGGTCCGGTTAAATTGTCCGCCATCTCCATCTGATCTGCCCAGCTAGTAGCGGGGACCGCGATCACTAGGCTGTCCACGTCAGAGCCGGGGGAAGCCGGGGCCAAACGGGAAAGCTTAGGGTCCTGCTGCGAAACTGCAGCATCTCCCAGGAGACGTTGTAGGAGCTTCACGTGCCATTCAAGCGTGGGACGGCAGAGTCTGTGACAGAACTTGCACGCCTCCGGGTCCACAAGCGGTCTCCTGGCGTGGAGAATTCCCAGACAAACCGTGCACGCTTCGTGTAAGTCATTCTCGTGAAGAGAGAATCCACAGCCCTGAGTACAGGGGTGCAAAGTGGCTTTACGTGAAGTGACGTCCGACATGGTGCTCATTGCGAGACACACAGCAGAACGAAGCGGAGAAGCTGAAGAGCCACGAAAGATAGCGCTCGGTGGGCGGGAATGCTAGCCAGAAGGAAGTAGAGTCCAGTCAGCGAGCGGTTAATCTATCTTTCAATAGCGCAGCTAGTTGCCTGATGTGTTCTCAGTGAGGTGAAGAGTAGGGATGGGTACCAAATTCGGTACATTTTAAGGTACCGACCAAATTCCACAGTACCGACCGAGCATCGATTCACTTTATTTGAAACGGTGCCTCATTTCGGTACCCGTCCTTCACAACGAGAACTTGCCTAGACAGCTGCGCATGCGCAAGAGTGTTATGTCATCGGTCGCTGCGAGCAAGTTGTAAACAGAGCAGCTCCGGTAGGTAATTAAATGTTTAAGATAACATTAGCTTGATTTGTTAGCTTCCATTTCACTAATGGTGCATTCGCTTTCTCCTCGGAACTCCGAAATTTTGACTAGAAGAACATGAACGCGCTCTAAAGTTTGGCTTCACTTTACTAAATGCGACGGGTGATTGGGTGAAGATGAAACCAGTGACAACGATTTAAGTGTGAGGCATCATCGTTTAAATCTGCTCCAGCAGTTAAATAAACTGTTTAAGATAACGTTAGCTTGATATGTTAGCTTCCATTGCCACCGTTGTTATCAGCTAATGGTGCGTTCGCTTTCTCCTCGGAAATTCTAACTTCCCAGTAGGAAAAATCAATTGAAAAAGGACGGTAAAAGGAATGAAAATACACAGTAAATTTAGTTCACAGTAAAGATGTTTGCTTCAGTTTAATTATCAAGTTATAAAACTACAAGGACGATGTTAAAATACAAACAGTTGTATGTTATTTATCGTGATATACATCAAATATTGTTATATATTGAGAAAAATATATATTTAATTATAAAAGAGAATAAAAAATATTAAACACTCAAAAGTATCGAAAATTGGTACCATTAAGTACCGGTATCGATTCATAGGTACCGGGAATTAGTACCGGATTGATTCAAATGTCAAAGGTACCCATCCCTAGTGAAGAGTGTAAGAACTGAGGAATGACAGTGACGCGGTCGCATATAAGTGGAGGGCGGGGCCTCCACGCAGCGTCACTTTCATTTGCCTTACAGGTGTGATTAAATGTGTCTTCAGCCAGGCCACACAAGGGTGTGATGTCCCTTAGTACCTTCGTTGTACCGAGTGAATAATCGACTGAAAGGGAACTGATAGAAAGCTGTGATTGGTCCACCAAAATCGATACAGCGCTTTGACTGGCACGCCACAAGATTGACCAAGGCAGCAGAGGTTCAGATTAGCGTGGCTAGATCAACATGCAGAGCAAAATCACTTTGCTTCTGCTGAAGTTCATCTAGATTTCAAGGCTAACCCCTTATTTCCACCAGACGTGAAAGTGTCACAAAACATGGCAATTTGCCGTCGCTATAACAGACGGGTTCCTTTCCAGTGTTTTTGGTGATGTTTTGGAGAGTCCTCAGAAGCAACTTGACGCTATCAAGTCTATTTTTTAGATGCTACTCTTCCAAAACATGTCAAACTCCGCAGTTTAGATCAGTCCAGACAGTTAGTCAAACAGGAAAGCAGTATAAAACATCCTGAAACTTTCAAAATAAAAGGCACATGCAGATAAACATGTAATTTTCCTGTGAAACCCCCATGGGTGCTGTAAACAGAACAGAAAAATAACCAAAGACTTTTTTGAATACATACAGCTATCTTACCCCTTTCTTGTTATTGCGTGGACTGTTGAAATCACACGTGGTGTTTCAATTCTCCCATGATTTTGTGACTTTGCGGGACCAGCGTAGCAGCGTAGAACGCTCCTGTTTCACACCTGAAACGCTCGTGGTTGGGAGGGATCTTGTGAGTAAAATGCAGTTGTTACACTACATGCTGTATTTTAGGGTTGCATAAATTATCTCTATGGACCACAAATAGCCCACACACCGCACTTGGAGATTCCTGTTATATTTGAATGATGAAATGAAACTAAAGAAATCTATGCTTTCAATACATTTTAAACTAACACCATATAAACAAAGAACACCACAAAAAGGCACTTACTTTATGAAAACATTCTTTATAAAGAAAAAAAACATCGCTGTGATATTTGTCGTTTCTGTCTGAACTTCCTGAGAGGAAACGCCAACTCTGATGACTTCCTGTTAGCACGAGCGACTGTGGAGCGGTAGAAAGTGATGGTTCTCGGAAGATAATACAAAAACCAAGTGCAGCCGGAATAAAAGTTCACTCAGAATGAGTTGGTATGTATCTTGGCCTCATCGCTGATGTATTGATTAACAATAAATTATAACCTGTAGTGATTTATTCGAAATTAGAGAGGAAAGGCTTATCAACCGGGCTCCGGCTAGTTCCTGGAAGTGCTAAACAGACAGTACAGTTGAACCGGGGCTAGCTTTTAGCTTTTTCAACCCTGCGTTTTTCAATAAAACATCTTCTAAAGACCCCAGTTCCATGTTTCACTTGGAATATTAGACCAATAAGTTATAACATTTCAGTGATCGTTTCAAAACACGGATTAATTCGCCATCTTAGTTTGTAGAACATTTAAAAGCTATAGCTAATACAGTATATGTTATCTCCCATGACATGTCATAGAAAATCACCCAACAACTGTATGTTAGAAACTTAGAATGTAAGTTACAATCGCTTCATAGCCATTTAAGTGCGAGGTAGTGTGACAATGGCATTTGTTGTGAGCAGTGTCAGTGGTGAAGCCATTTAAAGGGATTTGATCATCAGTCACGAGTAGTCCTTTGTTATTGTTGATCTAATTAATGGAATTAGTCAGTGCAGTAATTTAACTGACTATATTTAGATGCTTATTTAATGTTGGTGGGAGATGTTTTCACCTTCTTTTCACTATTTCACATACACTTGCTGATCAATTTGTTTGAATGTTTTGGTAATCATTCTTCAGCCAAGATGTCTGTGACCTCTACAGATAACTAAGTATAGAAGTGAAACATATGTGTTTCTAGCTGTATCCTTTTATGTGCGGCATCTCTCCAAGAAAAGTAGTACGTAGGGCAAAAGATTTATTTCCTAGAATTACCAGAGGAAGCTTACAGCAGTTGTTTGCAATGAAAATCAGCCATCTTCATATATTTCTGTGGGTTGTTGAGGTTGATTTGAATGCTTTGAACATATAAATCCTGGGTTACAATCAGAGATTATCATCTTGCTCTTCTGAGTTTCTTTTCATAGTTGGAGGTAGTCTTACTCATTGCTAAGATCACTGGACCACTGCAGCTTGCATTGTATGTTGGAATGTCTCAGTTGGTAAAAATTACAAGATTTCCGTGTTTGCACAGTAACAACCTGGTTCCTGAAAGAAGTTCATGTGGTTGTAATGCGCTTTTATTTTCAGTCAGCATTTATAGAAATCCCACACATAACACATCTACAGATGTAATCCAGTAAAAGCCACCACATTTCTCCTTTGGAGGCTTCAGTGTCACTGCAGCAAAACAAAACTGATTCTGTTCTGTGAAAATGTACCCCCTTAGACATTTCTTGTTTTTTTTTTCACATTTAAATGTTTCAGACCAGCAAACAACCTGAGTAAATACAAAATGTAGTTCTTTAATAATGATTTAATTATTAAATAAAGGGAGTAAAGCAATCCAAAACAGCCAGTCCAAATGTGGAAAAATGATTGACCCCTATTATGAATTTAATTATAAATCACATTATTTGGGAAGCTGAGATCAGTTTGGCCACACCCAAACCTGGTAAGTGATAGACCTGTAGAATTAAGAAATCACACTTGTCTGACAACATGAAGTTGGTGGAAATATCTTAAAAAGACACACATTATGCCTCATTCAACAAAATGCAAGAACAAGAGCTTCTTGCCATTAGAACTGAAGCACAGATCACAGGAAAGTTCACGGGGACTGTGAAGGACATCCACATTTTGGAGCTGCTCGTGAAAAAAAAACGCAAGAAGTGTAGCTTCAATCGAGATAAAAACAAGTTTTGTCCAAGCTAAAGGAAGACCATGACAGCGCAGAGACTTCCCCCATACCCCTTTATACCACCATCGCTAAATCGTATGTGAAAATACCTGATTGTGCCACATCACCTCCACAGGTTGACCATTTATTTTCATAGGGCCAGGTTGGTTAGCTTTTCTTTTTTGACAAGTAAAATCATGATTAGTAAACTGCATTTTGTCTGATTTTCAAATGTGTTTGCTGATCTGAAACATTTAAAGCTGTTTTTACAAAACAATGCCATCAATTAGCCTCAACGCTGAAGCAGCATCAGGGTCTGTTGTCAGCTATTTTATACATCCAGGGTTTTTTCTCTGTGTTACAGCAGCAGCAGTGGGGGGGGGGGGGTACCGGTACTGGAGCTGAGCGCATCTGACAGAGCGATCAATTATTTTCCTGTTTTTTCCCCTTGCATAGCTCTCTTACTACAGCTGATATTAAACGTGACCGTCTGTCGCTGCCGCAAATGTTCTTGTCTCTCAGCACCTTGGGTGAGTGACAGAGAGTGAGAGAGGCCGATTCTCCAGCAGCAGAACAGGATTTATCAATATATCACAAAGTGGACATGAAAACGCATCTTCTCACCTTTTAGAGAAAAAAACACTGTTTGTGAAAACATGTTGACGTTTTATATTGTCCGACAAAAACACGTCCTCTGTTTCACTCGCTGTGTTTGCCCCTCTCCCGTTGCTAATTAAGCTTGCACCTTTGCTCACCAGTGTTACCTCAGTATTCCGGTCGGTTCCATTGTTGAAAGGCATCTCCCCAACGGCTCCGCTCCGCACAAGCGGCAAAAACGTGCACGCTCAATACAAGTTCGCTCCCACTCTGCTCACACAACAGAACTGTAGCCTCCGTGAGTTAAAACATCTTGTTTTGTGCAAATCAGCACTTGATACTAGACCCAGTTCAGTAGTTAGTTATGTGCGCCATCCCTGCTGATGGATCAAGTCAGGTTGCTTGTTGATGTGATTATTTATTTATTCATTTATTTGTTTAGACAGAGCTGAAGTCGGTTCCCTTTTTTTTTGTTTCAGAGTCAGAAAGGGCAATTCCAACAAATATTTCCACTCCCTGAGCATCTTTTCTCTGTTCTAATTATAAATGTACAATACATAGACTCTTCAAACCTGTACTAAGTTATTTTGCACTAGTAGCACCTTAATGACTTTGGCACCTGAGGCAGCAGTAGCTCAGGAGGGAGTCTGTCTGTCCAGTAATCAGATGGTTCTTTTTTCAAATCCACCTCTTTATATAAAAATCACAAGTGTCTTCACAAGAACATTTAAAAAGAAGAAAAACAATGCAATAAACAAGATATCAACGGAAGGAATTAATAGCTTTTAATGTTTTTATGGTGTGATTTATATGACTATATTGTGAATAATGTGTTGAATCTTGATTTGAAGAAAATCATGAATCGAACTGAAATGGCAATTTCTCCTAGAAAAATCACAGTTCAATCTTTTCCTAAAATCATTCAGCCCTATCAACTGACCAGTGTGTTAGCTTTTCTCTCCAATATCTTTCTCTTTATTCACGAGACACATTATACATCTTGAGAAACATGCATCTCGGACTAAAACTTGCAAATCTTGTGAGTTCCAACAGCACTTGTACAACCAAGCATTGTTGCATGTTTCATGTTAGTTTTTAAATGCTTTTGATCAGATGGACAAGAAAATAAGAAGCAAATGAGGAAAACAGAAAATAACAAAATTTGGGGGGTTAAAGGTTGAATATGTACCAATAAAAAAAAGCTATATTTTTAAATAAATAATGCCTCTGCGGGGCGTTTAGAATGTACAGTATTTGCAAAGCCATATTTTATTCAAAAAATTACTAAATATTTATTTTGACGGGCACAACACTGGGTTTATGTTTACGTCTACCAGCTAAAAGAGGGCACCATTGCAGGTTGCCAGATACTGTAAACAGTCCACTTGGCACAGCGAGGCTAGCACTGTGGAAAATGGCGAATTTGGCCAGTCAAGCAGCTGCTTTTGAGCCAGGAAGATGTTCTAACGTTAAACACTGTTGTAAAATAAACATATTAGAATTTAGTCCTTACCCTGTACGATTCGTCACTGGCATCCCGACGGCTGGAAACCTTGTTCTGTTGTTGCAACCACAACTTCTATGCACTAGATGCCGTTTTGGTGTTTGTGTTCCATATTCAACCTTTAAGTTTAATGTGGTGTTTTCTTACATTTAATAATTTCTAAATTAATTTGTTTATTTGAAACTACTTGGCCTAAAGCTCTACATTGTGGAACATAAACCGACTATTCAGATTTTTCATTCTGCATTTCATAAGTCTTTAGACTTTAAGCTCAATCATGGAAAAATAATGTTGATTGAAACACAGTCAAAATGGCTCCCATGTCATAGTGATGCATTTCTAATCTGACTTTGGGTTTTATTTAGTCATGCATGTATGGCATATAAAGTGTACATTTGGCTTTCTGCAGCATTGACGTAGATTCGTGTTACATGGAATGTAGAACTTAGCATTTAAAGTACTAACAGAATGTATTGTAAACGATTCAATAACATAAAGTGGTCTACATTCATTACTTTTCACTATTCATGAGGCAAGTTCAAACAGAAACAAAGAAAAACAAAGTTTTTCAGTACATTGATGACACGTATGCATATTCACTTACTTTTGAAGGGATTACTCATTCTTCGTGTCATTTTTAAGCAAGATGGCGTCATTTAGTTTAGCTCAACAGTCCATAGCTGGCAAGCAGATCTTTGCCATCATGCACTGCCAACCACAAGGTCAAGAGTGGCGTTCTCTAGGAAAGAAAAGAGTCCCTTATTGTCTCTGCTGACTGATGCATTCCAGCAAGGCTTGCACACTAGGTTTTATGACGTAAGATGTTTGACTTTGGGGTCATCATCAAAACAATTCCACTTCCCAACATCTTCAACTAGTCCTCTGTGCTCCATGGAACATCCAAGGTCAAACGATGCAGTATCTCTCTAATAGCGCTCACATTTGCAGTTTTTGTGAAAAGCCGCTGGTTCTTCCAGTGTGTGCATAATGTGTCCCGAATAGAGAAGACTGTTGCTTCTTTGTTCTTGCTTACGTGGTTGCATGATGGCGGTGACGTGTACCCTGTTACAGCACAGATCAGATACCCGTATAATTGCTAGTCAACTAACATGTTGATAATGATTGCAAATGGGTAAAAGAGCAGGTTGTAATGTATTGATTAGGGTAGGGATTTTCCTGGCTTAAATTGAGGCAGAGGTGGTACCATCCTGACCATGCGCCAGCACATGCATACTTTGTGCATTCAACTACCTCACTTTTTTAAAGGTAAATATTTTTTGTTCTAATCTAAGCTTCTGTTGATTAATTGAATATTCCATTTGACAACGTTTCAAGTGAAACAAAACTGGTTTGCTTCTAAAAAATATGAAATAAAACAACAAAATTATTAAGCTCAAATAACAGACTCTTATTATAAAAGGCTCAATAATATGCATTAGACTGGTGTTTAGTGTCCTTTTTCTCATCTGATGTTTATAGGTAAAAATATTTTTAAATATTTGACCTACATTTCAGTAACATTTTAGGTTTGTATTAATAACACTCATCTTAGTCAGAATAACACATAAATATATCCAGTAAAATATAATGCATTTCATTAACATGCATTTGTATTGAAAAAGGTATTAACATTTAATTTCTGCTGCTAACATGTATTAGTGGCTTGTCTATTATGTACGGGTTGGCAATAATCCAGTTTAAATTATGTTCAAAGATAGAAGCGTTTCTGAATTATATACTACAATGGCTTGCCGTACATCCTGCTCCTGTGTGTGGGGCAGACTTGTAGCAGTAATGTGACTCGCACCTGCAGCGGTTCTGATCCATAGCGCTGCAGGATGCAGAATAAACAGGATGGTGGTGACTTTTCATCCACTTGTAGAGTTTAGTCTTTCTTAGTTTTACGATCATCATATATTTTTCTGTGCGTCACTTGATCGTGTTAGACTGCTACCCGTTGGCTTTAGCATTAGACAATTTGCGTGTAGCTGAACGTTTGATCCCAAACTTTGGACCAGTTCTGCCTTTGTGCCTTTGCTGGTTCCTTTATTTCCCTCCACTGCATCCAGATTACCCGTGTATTTATGTTGATGAGATTACCACACTGTGCGCCAGTAGAAAGCATTTTTCTTACACATGACTTACTTTTGTCCAATAAAGTTCTGGGGAAAATAGTAATTCAAAGATGTAGCACCAGTGCTACGTTTAAAAATAGACAGATATGCACACAGTTTTTTTTTCGTCGCACTGTACAGCCCTGCTCTGATATGGAAGAGCCTGGCAGAAAATCAGGACGTCAATTGCACCAATCATAGACATGTATCAACTAGCAAAAAAAGCAATTTTTAATCTTTTTCTGCAGCAGTTTTAGGGCTTTTCGGTGCACCGCTGCTGATACTGCGCCTCTGCAGCGGTGCAACGCTGCACTGCAGTTAAAATAACATCCATATAGCTGGGGGCAGAGTGAAATCAGGCTGGGGCGGCACAAAAATAGCTGCAGTTGGCCGCCACGCAAATTTGAACGCAGGAAAAACCCTGGATTAGGGCTTGGAAAACAGGCAGTGGCAAAAGTATTTTTGTTTCTCCCCATTTGTTTGTTTGATGATTTGCTGTTTTGGTTTTTTTTTTGGGGGGGGGGGGGGGGATCCAGTTGGTTCTGTTTAATTTAAGTTTAAAATACTAATATAATAAACCTTGGTGTCTTTGTGTTGCCCCATAAACACATTCAGAAAACTGTCGTCAGACACAAATTTTCTAATAGGTCTTTTATTTAATCAGCAACACAAAAATGTAGTCATCCTTTGATGAAAGCATTATAATTTACTTTGTAACAATTTAGATATATAGCAAAGGTTGCCACCAATCCTCACTGGAGGTGTCTTTGGCGTGTTACGGCAGTGGCACGTTACGGCAATGGCAAGTTTCTGCGTCAAATAAAATCCATTATAGCCTATGGGTTGATTCACACCGGCAGCTCCGTTGAATTTCAGGATTGGGTCCTAATTTTTGCCCTGACAGGCTTATGAAACGCATCAAGCTCCACAGTTAACATAGGGCTTAACAGGAAATTACACACTATAAGTGTAAAACATTTAGTACATTTCAAGTTAACAGATTATTGTAGTTGTGGTTACTTATGTAAACACTGGGTCTTTACTGGTGACCGAACGGCTTATTTGCTTCCTGCATCTTTTGAGAAGAGCAACAATCCATTTTTCAGCATGAATATCCTGGCAGTAGAGAGTCACAGTAATTTTAATGATGCCACATGTCAGTTTTAAAAAGACAACACCAAAAAAAAATGGCCCAACCTGAAATATTTACAATTGTGGAAGTAGATGGCGAGTTTAAAATCTTATCCATTAAAAATATTTTAAAGCATACAACATTAAAGGTATGGAGGAGAATGTTTCTGAATTTCAGGAAATAGTTGCCCTCCCCACGTTTTGAAAAAGTGCACGCTCTGTTTACAAGTAGATGCTGACCTTGCAGCACTTCTAACAGTAATCTGAAATGAATTTCTCCAAATAGCATGCCGAACTTTAGCTTGCCCGTCTAGTAGAAAACCGGCAACAGAGGCATCTGTGGGGAGCCCAACTGTTGCTTTCAATGCATGCCATCGTTGAAGTTTCCTAAAAAAAAAAAACTCTGGTTCATTTTTCCCACGTCAGAGGCCTTTCTCTTCTCATCATAGACTTTGAAGACACTTTTTCTCTAGCGACTCTGTCATTTTCAAAATAGCCCGGAGAGATCGGCAAGAATAAATGCATATCGCTCTACACATAAACAGAATGCGCAGGAAGTGAAAGCTAACTCAGGAGCGAGCACGTACGATGACGGCCTGGCGTGAAAGCTTCGTCAGAATGGTGACAGCTATGCGGACCAATGATCTACCCAGAATAAAAAGATCCTCCGATAGACTTTTAAGTCTCTAGTAATCTTGTGATCTCGCGAGTCCAACTACACAAACCACAGCTGAGCCGCTCCACGTCCAACCTGCTCCCAGAGTGAATTGAAGGGCCACGGAGCTCGCAAGTAACCTGCGCTGCTGCCGTAATGCGCTGCAGATGTTAACTATAGTTTCTTACAGAATTTTACTTTTAACAAACACTATGTTTCTAGAAGATTCTCACTAATGAGAATGACATTTTACAAATATGCAGGAGAACATTTCACAACAAGCTTAAAACACTGTCTGGACTGGTTCTTATGATTTACCTTTAAACCTAATAACTAGTTCCTAAGCACAAAACTCGTTTTCATAGGTTTGAAAGTGTCTCACAGAGCTTAGCTGGTTTTCCCATAATGCTATCAATCACATAGCTAAAGCTGATTTTTCAAGGTTCATTGTAGCCGTAGGAGGCTTGTTCGTCACTAGTTTCGGGACAACACCATTTGATCTCCCGCCAAGTTTACACTCAGCTCTTTAGGAAGTGGTGGAACCAGGGAACCTCTTACAAGTTCCACTGACAGCTACACCTGAGTGTCAGGATAATGTCATTGTGTATTTCCAGGCTATTAGTGAAAGGTGAGTCACGCCATGCTGTAATAATAATAATAGTAATCTCTGCTGTTATTTTCCATGCTGGCTCTTCCAAGCTATGACATCACAAGTGAATCAACTTTCTTTAGCTGGAAAACAATAAGTTTTACATAACTAACGGCACATTTTCAAACCATGACTTGAAGTAAGGTGTGGTAGGAAGAAAACCACCATGAGAACCAGTGAAATATGTATTTTCTTTCTTGTTTTTTTTTTAACAAGGTTGTGGTTATTTGACCTTATTGAGTTTTATGATTGAGCTGTCATCAAAAAGATCTTTGCCACACTTGGGTAACATTCCCCGATTGCACAATGAGACCCTACATCTCGCTCTCACTTTTCCATCTCATTAGTCTACACACCTTCCTTTTGACGCAGCTGCTGTCTCACCACACCTTTCAGCAGCAACTGTCCATCATCAGGCTTAGATTTCAAACCGTTAGTGCTACAACAAGCTGCAGTCGGTGGCATTTTTGAGGCTGACTTGTGGATTTTTTTTACACTCTGACTCCCTGCATGAACATATTTAGGAATAGGCAAGGTTTTTAAACAGCTTGTGACATATTTTATTGTTGTTAGTAGTCCCAGTACATGCAGGCTCCTATCTGACATTTTGCAAAAGGCTTACCATTTTTCCTGATAAACAATAGGGCATCTGTATTTGATTGTCAGCTGTGGTCATGCAGGAAAACCACACATTAAAGAGGGTCCAACCACTGCTGTTGGCAGATATCCGTTTGCGATGGATGGCAGATGTGATCGGTGATGACATGATGTTAATGTACATGGCACTGACTGCAAATTTGAGAGGAGCAGAGGTTAACAGCCCCCCTACTGTCTGTGTACCGGTCTAAAAGAGGTGCTTATGCTCTCTGAGACTAGAGCTGACTTTTGTCGAAGCATCATTCAGCTGATGACAATCTACACATTCAGAAATCTCACCTTTTAGGTGGTTGTTTTCCACTTTCTTATGTCTGTCACCTCTCATCACTCTTTTTGTCTTTCCAGGATCCCATTCAAGATTGGACAACCGAAAAAACAGATCGTCTCTAAAACTGTAAGTCACCTTTGAACTTAAAAAGTTTTAGATGAATAAACCCAAAATTGGTCTTTATTTTGAAAGAATAGCTGTTTGTAGTTGTCATGCATAGAAGTGGACACACATGACAGTGGTGTGTATTCGTGGATCCTAATTTGTTAGAGCGACTTCGGGGGCAGCGGTGATTACCTTGAAGTGACGGTGAGTAGGTGTTTCCCTTGCTGGCAAAAACCACTTCCACTCTAATGGGTCTGTGGCCCAGCAGTGTCTGTTAGCTGGGTTTCCAGCTTCCTGTGCCATCCTAAGCAAAAACCATGGAGTGGGTTATGTGCAGTCCAGTCAGATGGTCCACTTGTGACTTTGTGTCAACTGTTTCTTGGATTGCTTTTGCTGCTGTGTTTAAACTCGGAAGCCCACAGAACCACAGGACAGGAAACTTAGAGGGCCTTGTAACTTGTTTAACATGTTCTTCGGGGATGAGAGACGGGCTATCATAAGGTCGTATGCCACATAAGATGGCTCGTTTGTTGTTGGTTTTACAAACAAGTAATTACTACCAGTCCCTGTATTAAATTCCTTCATGCTGCTGTTACTCATCTTTTTTTCTCCTCGTCTTTCTTTAGGTCGAGAGAGACTTTGAGCGTGAATATGAGAAACTTCAAAAGTAAGTTTTCTCGTCGAATGACTGTTTATTATAGATACTGGCCAGACTTTGCATCAGAATTGTTTAAATTCAGTGTAGCTACACTTTGTTCAACTTTGTGATCCCATTGGTGTAATATGTTCTTTTTGGGTGGTGCAAAACGTCTGAGCCATATGTCAGAGCCCCAAACACACTTCCAACTACCGTAGCAACTTAGAAAACAGTGGTTTTTTGAAGAGGACAATGGCAAACGGAACGGGCAGCACTTCGTCACAGATCTGCAGTGACCATTTTGAGTATGGGGCAACAGTGGCAGATGAGTTGTGTCCATCCCATAATCATAAGGTTGCATGTCTGAGCCCTGGTCAGTTGGTCACTGCCATTGTGTCCTTAGGCAAGGCACTTCACCCACATTGCCCGCCAGTGGTGGTCGGAGGGACTGGTGGCAGCAGTGTACAGCAGCCTTGGCTCTGTTGGTGAGCCCCACAGCAGCAGTTGTAGTTTATCACCACCAGCATGCAAATGTGTGTGTGTGTGTGTGCATCAACTGTGTTCAAGATCTGAAACATGTAGGAATCATGTCTCTGAGATCTCGTTTTCCAGAAAACTCCCAATGTTTACTCTTGTTTGACTCCTATTGGGGCCAGACATTCTTTTTATTTTTGCATCTTCATCAGATAAACGTTTTCTTTGTTTCCTCTGAGGCTCCGCCATGATAAACACGTTACAATACCAGGTATAACCAGGTATAGCTTGTCTGTTCTGAGGTGTAAGCATGGATTTCCGTAAACCGTGACTTTGTGAGACTTCAGGGCAGCAGTCCGGACAGGCTGAAGTTGCAAACGTGGTATCCTCCTCACAAGGGGCTGAGAGAGACTTTACATTCACCCTGTAAAGGGTTGTTTTTACACATAAAAACATGAAAACATTGCTTAGTATGCTTTTAAAAATGGATTAACGTTTATAACAAAGTCTTTTTGTGTTTATAAACTTCTGTAAGATTTTTCCTTTAGCTGCTAGCTCTCTAGTCTGTTAAACCAGTTACCAGCACTTTTCTTTTTGAGAAAAATATTAGTCATTTAGAGGATGAAGACATTCTGCATTGTTATTTTTAGTCATTTGTTTGATGGGTTTTTGTTTGTAATATTTTGAAAAATTAAGAACTTATAGACTTTTTAAATATTTCTACAGTGTTTGTGTGAAACTGGAGACCAGAGTTGAGAGCGCTTAAAATCCTAAGGCTTCAGGTTATAGAAACTCCCTGAGGGCCTAGCAAAATGAGTGGGAGCACAGTTTTCTAGTCGGGTTTTGTTGAGTAGGAGGGCCCTTTATCAAGAAGGAGTGGTACCAATAGACCTTATGGATGAGTCAGAGCAGCAGGCATGTGCAGACATTTAGATTCTCCACCCCAGAGATCCATATCAACACATCATGTTGCATCTGAGGCCTAAAGGCTCACTGGCACAAGCCAACAGTAATGTTTCTTATTTGTTAATGATGACATTTTATTTTGAATAGTTTCAGGTGTATATCATAAAATATAATCTAAAAATAAAAAGGTCCTTTAGTAAAGAAGCAGGATTTTCCAAACTAAAGGGAGACAGATGAGTTTTCTGTTCAATGCTGATTGTACTAAAAATAAAAGTTCTGTATACATATTTCTATAGTGATTGAAAATGTGTTATTTTTGTACAACAGTGTAGATATTTGATTAGTGTTTGACATTACCATGATTAGCATAGTGGTTGTAATTATGTTCATTTGCTGGTTTTAAAAGCAGTTGAATAATGATTGACATAAAATCATTTTCTGTATTTTTCATTCATGACAACTCTACTAGAAAAATGCTAAATAAACAATTAAAACTGTAATTAGCATCAATAATTGAATTAACATTTAATATGTCCTTTTTCCCAGAAATAAATCACCAATATCTGGTGAATTAGACATTATAGTTGACTTTTCTATTTTCTCTCAAATGTGTCTCTCAATGACATCTGCTTGTGTTAGCTCTACAAGACACTTTTACAGCAGATCTTCAGTTATGTACCAACATTTTGGACAAATGTAATCTTTGATACAGTGATGCGGGCGTTGTACCGGTCTGTCGTGGTGAAGAAAGAGCTGAGCCAGAAGGCGAAGAACCTCACGATTTACCACTTGATCTACGTTCTAACCCTCACCTATGGTCATGAGCATTGGGTAGTGACCAAAAGAACGAGATCGTGGATACAAGTGGCCAAAGTGAGTTTTCTCCACAGGGTTAGCTGGGCTTTCCCTTAGAGATAGGGTGGGAACCTCGGTCATCCGGGAGGGGCTTGGAGTAGATACACTGCCCCTCCACATCGAGAAGAGCCAGTTGAGGTGGCTCAGGCATCTTATTAGGATTTCTCCTGGATGCCTCCTTGGTGAGGTTTTCCAAGCACGTCCAACCGGGAGAAGGCGTAAAGGGAGACCTAGGACACGTTGGAGGGGCAGCCACATCTGCAGTTATGCGGGCATTGTACCTGTCTGTCGTGGTGAAGAGAGAGCTAAGTCAGAAGGGGAAGCTCTTGATTTACCAGTCGATCTACGTTCCTACCCTCACCAATGGTCACCAGCTTTAGGTAGTGAGCGAAAGAACGAGAATGCGGATACAAGCGGCCGAAATTAGTTTTCTCTGCAGGGTGTCTGGGCTCTCCCTTAGAGATAGGACAAGAAGCTCGGTTATCCGGGAGGGGCTTGGAGTAGACCCGCTGCTCCTCCACATCGAGAGGCGCCAGTTGAGGTGGCTCAGGCATCTGGTCAGGATGCCTCCTGGACGCCTCCCTGGTGAGGTTTACCGAGCACGTCCAACTGGGATGAGACATAAAGGGAGACCCAGGACACGCTGGAGGGACTACGTCTCTCACCTGGCCAGGGAACACCTTGGGATTCCCCTGGAGGAGCTGGCCCAAGTGGCTGGGGAGAGGAAAGTCCGGGCCTCTTGACTTAGGCTACTGGCCCTGTGACCCGCCTCCGGATAAGCGGAGGAAAATGGATGGATGTGTTGTTTGGGTTTCTCGATCTGACCTCCAGTATTGGATCAGGTCTTGATTGAATACTTTAGATCAGCTGTTTACACTAAGGTAATTGGCACAGACGCTCATTACCAATCACAAGTTATTTAAAACATACAGCACTTACATCGTTTGAAAAATACAAAACAATGACAACAATTACAACTCTTGAGTGTGATGCTGTTTTCTTGTAAAACTTGTATACCTACTGCTGCCCCAAAGTTCCCCAGTTGGGAAGATGTGGTATTATGTTTGAAATTAGTGCAACCTGTCCTGAGCTGTTCTCTGTTATTGTTGCACAAAACTTTGCCGTCCTTACAGAATCTTTACAGTGAGAATTAACATTTTTGACTTAAACATGTTTGTTTCACCGTAATCAAGATAGTCTAGAAAACATAACATTAAAGGGCATTTATAATTGTCTGATACACGTTTTTCAAAGAAAACATTTTCATTTAAAGATGCATTTTTTCCCCCTGTTGCAACTAATTGAACCTGTACAGGCAGGTGTTTTTTCCAAGTGGTTCTTCTTCTGGATAAGGTTTGGTAGAAGTTCTGCTCTTGGCCAACAACTGAAAGCAAATTCCTGCTTTTGTGTGAATGGCAGTCACCTAAAAGGAATTTTGTGCAAATTGTCAAATGTGGAGTAATGCCCATTCATTACCAAGTATTACACTCAAGGTGCTTGAAAGGCAGTTCAGTTTGTGTTATTTAGGCCTAATGTTGGGACATCAGTGCACATGGCAACAGCTGCACCAGTGGGTGCCTTATTATCACTTTTGGGAAAGATTCGAGACTCATTGTCGGCGTGCTGAGAGACTAGAGAAGATGCAACAGTAATGTGCAACACATTTTAATGTAGGAGGTAGTAAATGGAATTTGAGTTTCACACGTGCAAACAAGAATTATAGGAATGCATTGAGAGTGTACAGGTTTCAAAATGTGGTAGATTGTTTACAGTACAGGAAGGATCATCCTACAGCATGGTCTATGAAAGGAAGGATTTACCTGCTGTTACCGTTTGTTCCCATCTGTTTTTTTATCACTTGGTTAGAGGTGATTTATTTCTGATTAAAATCAGTCACTCTGAGTTTTTTTGCAGACTGAACATGGAAATAGTCTCCTACACTTATCTCCTGCATTAGCTTCTGAAAGAATATAGACGGTGAAACTCTAGGATATGAAAAACCTGACAGATCAAAGTCAAGAGGTCGCTTGGACTCACTCTTCTTGGCTCTCGACGAGGAAGGCTGTTGTTTTAGCATCAAGGAAACAATATTGAATGTCTCGGCTAGTAGAAGCTAACTGTTAGCATCAGCAACTCAACCACACAGCAGAAGCTCCTCCTGGCTTGTGTTATTTGTGGAGATAAAACATCAGTGTCGTAGAGTAAACTGAGTCAGTGGTAGAGTTGCGTTGCTGTTATCCAATCTGAGGCATCCTAATATCAGGAAATAAGGCTCCAAATCCTGCAGTCTGCTAGCCTAGTGAACTAGACCAAATTCTTGCTTTGCAAAGTTTGGTCTAGGAATGCTCCACTGGAACCTCTGCAGCCCCAACAGCATTCTGGTTGGCCAATCACAGCTCTCTAGAGGGGTTTCAAACACATAAAGAGTTGTGATTGGTCCATCATGGTGGGCCAATCATAGTGCTCTATCTGCTTAGTGAACAAATCACAGAGCTTTATCTGCTTTGTGGGCCAATCAGGGCACTCTATATGCCTGGTGGGTGGGATGATGCAACAGAGTGAAACAAGAGTATGTCACATTCATTGTCCAGTGGAATGCGGAGATCATTTGAAAGACAACAGAAGAACCCGCCCCACAACCAAGAGCCATCATTGGAGTGTTGCCAGACTAAATAATACATTTATTTAGTCTGGCTTGCCAGGCTAGCAGTCTGCTGCAGCAGACTTGTCCGTGTTGATCCAGTCATTTTGGGGATTTCAAGAGGCAGAGTCAAAAAACTTTACATGTTTAAAATAGGTCTTAATTAATGAAAGTCTGAACTTCTGCATGAATTTTAATTACATGAACAATAACATCATCTTAATGTAGACAAAAACATTTTTTACTTGTAGGAGAAAAAAAAAGACTTGCAGCTCAATCAGAGTTTGTTTCTGACTAGGGCTGGGCGATATGGCAAAAATAGAATCTCACGATTTTTCCAATATTTTATCACGATTTCGATTTCATCACGATTTTTTATCCATGAATAGCATAACTTCAATTGCGTATTAAAGAAGAGAAACATTGAATAAATAAACATTTAGTCATATTAGGGATAATCAACACAGTGCTAACACACTTATATTTTAAACTCACACCAGAGATGATAAAAGCCCTGAGAGAAACAATTACAAAAATCAGTTTTTCAAGTAACTTAACATAAATTAAAATCGTAAACATATTTAAAGTGCAAACATGTCAATTGCAAACATATTGTGCAAACATTAACTTGTTCAAAATACTATGTAGCTCCCAGTTGCTCATGTAGTGGATAGTTAAGCTCAAATACGGCTCTGATGTGCGGCTGGACCAGAGATCGCTTGTGGTAGCAAAAAACTGCACATTCTGAATATTTTCTGCAACGCTCACTTTGCATTCAACGTACATGCGTGGAATGGCGCTGTTCGAAAAATACTTGCGGCTGGAAAACTCGTAGCGCGGATCCAATGTTTTTATCATGTTCTTAAATCCCACTCCTACTGTTCGCACAGGACACAAATCTTTAACCAAGTGGTACGTCACTGCATCTGTCACGCTGTTCCATTGTCTGCCATCTCTGTCGTAGGGAGTGAGTTTTGTGTGTTTCTGTTAGCGTTTGCTGCCAGGAAGAAGCACTAGCCGCTGCCGCTGCAGCCGCATGCTTTTTAGCTTTAGCTGCCAGCTGCCTCTCATTTTATTGTTTGGGATGCCTTCTTTTCAAGTGATTAAACAAGTTTGTGGTGTTTGCCATCACTTGCCTTGACGCTCTCCTTGCAAACTTTGCAAATGACGTTTCGCTGCTCTTTGTCATCTGGTGACGGACGAGGCGTTCCTCTTCGGAACGAAAACTTCGTTGTCGCTCTCAGCCGCGGCCGAAGCCATGTTTGTTCACACACAGGTGAAAACAAGCGGGGCACTAATATATTACTATGACTCACTCTGATTGGTTAAGGGTCAAACAAAGGTGTGTCATTCGCCGGAGGTAAGTTCCCTTTTCATTCAGAGGCAGAATTTCAACAGCAGAGCTGTGAATCGTGATAAGAAGGTCTCTCAAAAATGACAGACCATCAGATGTGTAGATCGTAAAATGGTCTAAAATCGTCATATTGCCCAGCCCTATTTCTGACCACAACTTCTAAACAACCCAAGTTTCAGAACTGAAGAAGCCACTTGGATGAGAGGAAAAACATCTTAAAGATAACCAGAAATTTCTGGATTTTTTCAGTTAAAACTCTAAGGATGATCATTTTAATCAGTAACTGAACAAATACTTACAAGTTAAAGTGAGAGTCAAGGCATGGGTGGAGACGTAGTTCATCTACACTTCCTGTTAGGAAAACGCGTCTGAAAGAGGTGTCGCCTGGCGGACCGAGAGAGCGAGACTGAGGCAGTAATAGGACCCCCCCCCGTGTGATGTCTGAGTTTCTCAATCTACAAACGAGTTGTTAATGAGCGCGTGCGCACCCGCACGTGCACACACTCACACAAGACTTACCGCTCAGGAGAAAAGCAGACACAGATTCTGCAGCATTCTGGAGGATTTCCTGTTAAACGTGGCCATTAGATGAAAAGGGGAGGAGGGTGTTTGTTTTCAAGGAGGCGAGTGGCTCAGAGCGCTAATGTGTCATATTGGCAGGTGAGTGGCTGAGCCAGGTGGAGCTGCGGCTGCCTCACCTGGAGGCCAGTGCAGCGCAGCCACGTAGTACTTTGTTGACAACGTCACGTTTTTCAGCTTAGCCATCAACCACAGCTGATTCTAAATAAATGTGGAGTAGAGTTTTAACCTGAAGATGGAGATATAATTATGGTTTTGGGCTGAAATATTCAATTTAAAGTAAGTCTGCCACACTACTAATTACACGTGTGCAGCACCATTAGACACTCATCTATACAGGTTATCAGCAAAAAAAAGTTAATTTAGGCGTTGCTTGCTCATTGAAGAATAAACTAAATACCCAAACCTGGTTATTGTTAATAAAACTGACTTTATGCATCCTTTACATTATTTGAACAAAATATATAAAACCAGCATAAATATTATTTTCGTTATTATTTGCAGACACACAAATGTGAAGTCATTAAACCAGTATGCATATTAAAACATCTTAAATAAACAAACAATATTACATTTTATTTTACTTTTCTAATGTACCCTCTGTATTTGCCCGAGAAAACATTTAGTGAGTTTCCTTCTGAGCTTCTGAACATATAAAAAAGTCTTTGAAATGATGGAAGTGAGACCGTTCAACGTTGCAATTTTGATCAAACCGGGAGAAGCGATGTGATAGCGGTCTCTTGGGAGAGCCTAAACCCCTTTCTGGCCCTAATTGATATAATGAATGGCACATATTTTTAGATTCCCTAGTTTGGTAATTGCCTTTTTACCACCCATCAGTTGAATATGTGGAGTGGAATGATTGAAAACATTAATGCTTTAGAGCAGAAATGTAGTTTACAGAGACAACAAGGGTCTCCTGTATTGGTAATTAGGTAACAAGTTTTATGTGGAAGCAATGAAATGTGTAATTCTATCATTTTACATTAATTTGATCTACTTTTTTGGTATTTTAATTCCACATCTGTATGTCTTTGATGTCAACATTTAGACTAAATGAAATTGTTTTTCATTTAGAATCTTACAGGTCGGTGTTTTAGGGTTAGTGCCGTTTTATGTAAGACGTTATCCATTTGTCTTCTTGTCCAACAGGCTGGAGGATCAGACTAAGAAGCTTCACAAAGACATGAAGAAAAGCACCGATGCTGATTTAGGTGTGTTCTATCAGAAACTTGTGTTATCAACTGGTTTTTCCTTTGACTCCCACTGACATGCTTAATGTTGCTGAGCAGGTTTTCTTGGTCACAAAGATATGTGGCAGCCAGTTTAATTCATGTGGTCTAAATGTTCACATAGACGAGTAAAACGATCAGCGCTTCCGTCACATTTCTTTACAGGTTTTACTGTAACCAATGACGCAGTTGTACAGTCTTTGTTTTACTCCGTAGTTTGCTTATTTTTGCTCTCATCAGATACAGTCTTTATTCAGATTTATTTACTTGATTTGTCAGTTCTTGAGTTTGTGTTTGGGGAAGTAGCAGTCGAAATGGCCTGTGGTTAGTAGTCAGTTGCGTGGGGGGTGGATGAGCGGGGACGGATACAGCAGCTAGAGACTCCTTCATTTCCTCTCCTTTGTGCTCTGGAATATGGATGTCTGCATCATCAAAGTGTCATAGCTGTCAGGGCCTCATTATTGTTAATGGATTCCATCTGTTGCTCAGGTCCCATCTCCTCCAACTCGCACCCGGCGAAGAACCGGACCTTTGCTGAATGTCAGCACTGCGTCGATTACACTACTACTAAACTTGTCTTCATTCATGAAGTCAAAGGTAGTGAACCGTCACATTAGGGCCATCATTACCCTTTAGAGGTCAATCATAGTACAATTCCACTCAAACTACAGAAGAACCAGATAGCTTTAGAAATACCCAACCGACCGTCATCTCTTATGCATCACTACCAGCAGACTGGCCGGGTCACCGTTTGTCTGTCAGCTGTTTCTCCACTTAGTATTCCTCAGACACACTCCTACTCTGCTGCTTTGGATCACAGCTGCCAACTGCGCAGTCTGCTCTGCTAAGCTCAGCGATCTCTGTAAGCTCATCTTTGTGAGGCGGTTCATTTGGAGTCTGATCGTGGGACAAGTGACTCACAAAGAGTGAGGTGAATGACTTATGGGCCATTCCCATCTGTACCGGGTCGGCCCGGGCCGGGTAGCCCCAGTCGGCCCCAGCCTGGCCCGGTTGATTCCACACATCCTTGCCTTAAGCCCATGTGGGCTGATTCTACCCACCAATCAGAGGCTTGCTCTAATGGAAGGTGTGAATTTGCTGTCAGCAGTGGGTGTGTTGGCCCTGGTCGGCCTGAAGCAGACCCCCTCGAGAAGAGGGCTGAGAATGAGCCTTGGTTGGCCCGGAAAAATACCAGGCCACCCAGATATGTAAACAACCTACGCTACCTGGCCCGGGCCGACCCGGTACAGATGGGAATGGCCCATTAGAGGACTGCCAGGCTGGATGTGTAGCCACCCCGCAGGAAGTAGAGATTCTGTGCCAGCTGGTTTGCAGCAATGAACCATGAAGAAGAAAATGCTTACAAATAGCACTTAAAATGTTACAGATCCTCTTATTGATTTCATTACTTGATTATTTACAGTGACAGAAACTTAGTTTACTTGCTCATGAGACCTCAGGGTCATCTTTTGACTTCCATGAGCCTTTACTAACACATCTTTCTTATAACAGCCAGGAGATTTATTACAGTGATAAAAATATACAGATTTATGAACATTTGTTTAAAGAGCATCTCGATCAAGCAGAATAACTTTGTTTTGACAGTAAATCATAATCTGATGTGTGCTTTGTGACTAAAAGTGTTGTGTTCAGATTAAAAACTATTTCTGCTCTCAGGAAGAAAAAAAAACATTTTTTTTGTTCTGGTAAATATTCAATAATGCTGGCAGCCCAGCCAACCTATCTGATTTTCACAATGGAGCCAGCATTGGGCCATCTTGTTGCCTCGTGCACAGAAACTTTCTTTTAGATACCCTCCCACACAAGGACCACATAACAGCCCATGAAGTGTTTGAAACCACGTTTAACCAGTTTTCTGTTTTGTGTGTGATGCTGTCAGCCATGTCCAAAGCTGCAGTGAAGATCTCTGCAGACCTTTTGAGTAATCCGCTGTGTGAGCAGGACCAGGCCTTCCTGGACTCCATAACTGCTTTGGACACGGCTATGAAAAGGATGGACGCCTTCAATCAGGAGAAGGTCAGACTCAGTTTTGCTTAATTGTTGTATCTCACTCTCAGCGTTTCTTAGTGCTCAGTACGAGTTTTAGAACGGTATCATCAGGTGCTATGTTTCTCTTCAGACATGCAGGAGAAGAACCTGAGAAGATTCTGTCTAAATTAGACATGTTAGTCAATGTTACGCTGAAACTATCCGTATGTATTGCCTTCTGCTGTTTTCAGAGAAGCATCTGTGGTATCATCCTCTATAAGCTCAATACACTGGTTATCAGCTGATGCATTAATGACTCACTGATTTCTAAAATAACTCCAGTACAATAGATGGGGTCTTCTCCATCAGAAACTTTCCCCTGCTGCAAAATTCATAAGAGTTGCTCACAGCTTTTGGAGGGCACAGATATATTGGTTTGCTTGCATAAAACAAATACTTGGCTTCTGTTCAAACTTTTTTTCCCTATTGATGATTCATCCGATGTAGTGTCTAAAAAGGGGGAGCATTAGTAACGGGCATGAATTTATAAAACTAAAAACGGACAAACTGAGTTGGCTTCAGCAGGGCAGAATAAACCTCATTCATACTTTTAAAAAGTAGTTAATTATAGATACTAATTACTTTGTTAAAAAATAACTCAGTTACTGAGTTACGAGATTATAAAAGTAACTAATTACCAAGAAAAATAACTACTTAGTTACTTTTTTCATTAAAGAATGCAAGAAAAATGGGTTAATTGAATTTACTTAATTTACTATAAATTACTACAATAGTGAAATATAAATGACTAATGACTGGAACATAATAAAATGTGTGTCAAAATGTTTTTTATAAACCTGAATTATTTAAATAAATAAGCACTTAACAGGAGGAACTACTAACAGGAACATTACACTTATCTAGACTATTAAAAGGTCACTGTGTGATGTTTAACAAGACCCCAATCAGCTAACGTTTATAATAGCAAATAGAAACACCTGTAAAAGTTCCCGAGCCTTTAAATGGTCTCTCAGTCTAGTTAAATTACAGAAATGAATGTAATTTTGCACAGTGTTTTAATTTTTCCAGCTTCACATAATTGTGTGTTATTTAGGGCTGCAACAAACGATTATTTGGATAATCGATTAATCGTATGGGGTCTCGACACGATTAATCGATTAATCGGATTACATAGGGACATTTTTTAAAACTGCTAGGGAAACGTTATTTTTCTCCTTCCTTCACTTTATTAAACACAACATTATTAGAAAACAGTTCCATAGCAGAAAAACAACATGCCATCACCTAAATTGTCTTATAAGGTGTATAGACAGAGACCCTAAGCTACACCTATCTGTGACCTAAAATGCTTGGTCCAAGTTAAACAGCTTAAAGAGCAAGTCAACCCCTACCAGAGTCTAACTCCACTCCCGCTTCATGTTTGAAAAATGCAACACATGCTGTTGCCTGGCAGACCGAGAGGGCGGAGCCGCTAACAAATACACACACACTCAGGCTCACGACAGCATTGCGGCATCATAATGTACCAGTTTACATCATAGCATACTTCTTAGCCAATAGCGGTGGCAGATTTAAATTAAAATACAGTGCAGAGTTGTTACCTGACAACAGCACAACACTGCCAGTTTTAGGCAGAATATTTAAATTTTAACTAAGATGCACTGAAGTGCCAAATTATTGACGACACGTGTCTGCAGCATGATTAGACACTCGTTTATTTAGTTTATCAGCAAAAAAAGTTTATTTGGGGGTGACTTGCTCTTTAAGGGCAATTCTCATCTGTTTTGTTTGATCTCATCTGTAGACATTTATTATAATTGGAGATGTCAAACAACTAATTTTTAAATGTAATTAAACATAGGCTGTGAATTAATCAAAATTAATCACTATTTCCAAAAATGACTGAAAAATACCAAATAAAACAAAAGTAAATGAATGCCATCCTCCTTGCGATGATGCCCTGGGCAACTGCCATAAAGTCACATCAAGAAATGCTGCTGATCATTCCAATGATCCCAAATAGACTCACATTAGGCCACATGAAAGCAACTGAACCCAAAAATATATTAACCAGTATATAAATGCACTCACACAACACGCCTGCAGCAACAGTTAGGACTCCTCCTTCCCTTTTAAAAGCGTTTTCGCTTCTGAGGACAATGTGTTTGTAAAGCTACATGGTAGTCTGGCCCCGGTGTGATCAACCAGTTTCTGCGGGAATGTGACGGCGGAACCGGTTCGCAGCGGCGCGAGTCCCCCCCGCCTATCTAATAGCGTCGCGCTTACAATTTTGTAGACTTTTTTTTAACGAGCTTAGGGCATGTCTAGCCTGTGTAATAATCCGGGGCTTGGGTGAATCACTTTTGGAAAGTTTTTAACTTACCCGGACACCGAGCTCTCTCCTTCCTCGCTGATGATTCTGACATGCTTGCGTTTAAGACGCTGCATCATCACCGTAGTATCCCCGTGCCATGCTAAATCTGACCTACAAACTTTGCATGTCTTCGCCTGATTTAACTGAAAATGCTCCCAAACTTTAGAAGTTTTTACTTTTTTGGGGTCTCGCTGCTTCTGCCATGTTCCTCTTACAAACACCTACCGGCTCTCCACCGGTCTGCGCGCAACGGCGGGCAGGAGGGGAGGGGGCTTTTGGAAGAGTTGCGCAACACAACGAATCGATGACGCAATTCGTTGCCAACGCTTTTAGTAATCGATTTTCATCAAATTTATCGATTCGTTGTTGCAGCCCTAGTGTTATTAGTAGCATTTCTGTTGCTGCTAATCTAGCAATGGTTAAATAAATAAATAAAATCCTTTAAAATGACACTAGAACAGGCACAAGCCTGATGGAGGACTTACATTTACTAACTTGGGCCAGACCCAACCACAGAAGAACTGAAGCTGGGTGGTAAACACACACAGGTAGTTCTAATAACACCTGAGCTCCATGACGTTTGAGACTGATGCATCAGTGTTACAGCGGGACTAAAGACATGATCAGAAACAGGTTACAGCTGGATGATCTAGGAAGGTAGAAGATCGTGACGTCTGAGCGGTGAACAGGTGAGCGGACCTTCAGGACATCCCGCTGTCATGCTAAGAAGGTCACGGCTGCAGATCCACACCTGCAGCCGTAGACTATTCATGACGTCTTCCTCGTTCTTCACGGGCCGTGATGCACTTGGATGAAAACATGTGCCTCTTTAGCTCCTGATCAGCTGATGACAGCTTCAACACACCGCACTACTTAACGCACGCATTTCCTTATCAGTAACAGAAACAACGTTTTGTTAAAAGAAGACGGTAATTAATTAGTTTGCTCGTTACTGAAAGAAATATTTTTTTAGTAACGCGGTTATTTTAAATGGCGTTATTCCCATCACTGCTCTGTACAGCATGCAGTGACTGAGACAGTGAGGGTCTCCGCCCACCCGGCCAATCATCATCATGTTTGTAAGTGCGTTACCGACACCTCTCTCCCTGGCTGCATCTGATGTGGCGGTCAGAAAGCCTCACACTGTTGCTCAATGTTCGACAAGCACATAGTAACGCACAACCTTCCGTCCCCAGTAACAGTAACTGAGTTGCAACAGTGGGAAAAGTTATTAATTAGATTATTCCGTTACCCAAAAAAAGAACGCAGTTAGTAACGCCATTATTTTAAACGCCGTTATTCCCATCACTGTTCATACTTGGAGATCCTAATAAACAGGTTTTCCTGCAAACACATTTTTCTTCAGATTGTACAAAATAGTTGTTTGGTTGGCGTCTTTACAGCGTTCACTAATTTAAAAGGCATTTCCTTTAATGTTTCTTCTTCTACTCCTCTGTGCTGTCGGGCAGAACTGCGAGCTATGGAGCATAATCCTGTCTGCGTTTTTCACAGTTATACTTTAGAAGAAATTGTTCTTTAACCTCTTCTATTCAATTGCCAGGATTGTGTTTAGAATTGTTGCCACAGGTAGTTATAATGTGAATCATAATGGCAGCACATGTGTGGTTGCTTAAGGCACTACACTGTGAAGGGTAGGCAGTTAAAAAAGGAAGAGAAAACATGGCTGAACTCCGAGATCAGAAGGTATACACCACTGACTCTTTTTTTCCCCTCCATCATTGTTTTCTTGACTCGTTTCCCTGCCAATTCTAGATTTTTCACACTTGTTCCCTTAATATGCTTTAGTAAAATATTCACCGCTTTTCCCAATATTAGTAGAATAATTTCACGCAGCAGTAAACCAAGAAGGGGGAGGAAGTGAATGCTATAGAAAATGGAGGATAATTGAATTATGTCTCACCTGGAAGTGTAGATATTTGTTATAGAGGATGTCTTATTTATTTACTGTTTTATTTATTTATTTTCTTAATTTAAGTCAATTAAAAATTGAACCATGAGTAGGGTTGCAGGGATTAACCAGGGTTGACTATTAACCGTGGTTAACCCACCATTAAGATGTCAAGATGACACTGCCAATAATAAAAGACAGTAGTGCGGCCCGCACGGTCAAAGATGAAAGTGAAACTGAACGTGCACACGCAGCAGAATCAGAACCAGTGAAAACAACCATCGGGACTGCTCCATTTCCACCTAGGAAGTCTCCTGTGTGGGCATATTTTAGATTCCCAAAGGTGCTAAAGGAGAAACTCGGGGTGATGGCTTCCCCCATCTGCAGATCCTGCAGAAAAGAACTTTGCAACACTCCCATCTTGTTGGCATCATCTCTGAGATCATCACGCAGACAAATAAGTGCCAACTGAGTCAAATAATGTTAGTGACTGAAGTGATTCTACAGTAATGGGCAGCAGTATCTCCGGAGGTAGAGCGGGTTGTCCAGTTATGAGAAGGTTGTAGGTTTGATCCCGGGACCCACCAGAGAATAGGGAGCCTAAGTCACGCCCATCTACTTCCAGATCATGAGTCCCCAGAAGAACAAAAAAATGAATGCAAGTTAATGGAGCTAAAAACGCAATTTTCTAATTCCGCTTGTTTTGTGCCATGATTTCACATATGATGTCTGTGAATTTTAAAG